CCAAGAAAGTACAGGCCCTAGAAGAAACATATAATATAATATATAAATATATATATATATATACATACATATGAGGTATGTATACATATACGCACACCTGACCATCACTGAGCTTGACCATAAATTTGCCCGCAATGGTGTTTTCATGCTGTGTTCAGCAGTTGGAAGGCAGCACCGGCACGGGGAAATATGCGAACATCATGTTTCGGGCGTGGGGCCCCAAGAGCTTGGTGAACAACTGAAATGCCCCGGGGCTCCTGTCTACAAATAGCCATTCGGGCCTGTTCAAATGAGGTCTTTTCAGAGAATTGTGCAGAAAATCCACAAAAAGCATGTTGTTTCAGCTCTGCAAGGCTGCCTAAAATCCACAAAAAGCATGTTGAGAGTGTGACCAGAACCAACAACGCCAGATTTCCGCGACGACGTTGGGTCAGGGACGGAGGATACCCCGGTCTTCAGGTTGCTTCAACGGGAAACCAAAGTCGTCGCGAGTCACATGTTTTTGACAGACCCATTCAGTCCAGAAGGGGATTCGCCAGGCAGGGCTGACATGGAGCCCATAAACCATCGGGGGGAAGACCCCTCCATTCCGGGAAGGAGTTCAGACAATGTTTCCGGATCATGAGAGAAGCCATGAACTAGTGTGTGAGTGTCTGTGTGTGTGTGTGCTTGGTCAGCATAAAACGAAATGGGCTCTGTGTCAATATTAATTGGGGATGGTTTGGTGGGCATCATTCGCATGGAGTGTGTCTCATTTCCCAACCATTTGTTTGAGTTGTTCTAGGCTTAAATTGAGAGTCGGACGCTGTGAGCGTGAGCTTTTTTCACGTTTTGAGTGGAAACTCAAGTTGAACTATGTTTGTTTCAATCTCATCTAAATTCACAGCTACCTGTTCTCGGCACAGGCGAGATGCTCTTTCCGGACTACGCCATCTCCTCAATCCGTGCAGGGTCTATCCCCTATCGGTTTTGCCTGTAGCCAGAAGCGTGGGGCGGTTCAAAGCATCTTGCCTGGTAGGTGTTGCCAGCTGAACCGGCCCTGATAGGAGTTGGTGCCTCACGAGAAAAGCGTCACATCCCGTCGTACGGATTCCCGATGTTTGCTTCATGTTCAAGGCGTTGCGCCAAATCTCCATGAGTCTTCTCTGGGCCCGGATGCTGAAAGAGAAATCTAGCTGGATCAAGACAGTCGCCCGCACCTGTCTTGAACTTCGGGCCCTCAAAAAAGCCCAAACTGGGCGCAAACACTTCTTTCCAGTCGGGCGCCTGCAATCTTCCTAGGGCATGGAACAGGCAAGGAGACCCACATGGCACCTTTTGCAGTGGAATGAAGGATTTCTTTGGGATGATGCAATCGATGATTTGCTTCTATCTGAATTATGCAAGTTGCCTGGGATCCACTGGAAGAACAGCGTTGTGTTTGGTTTTAACCGGCTGCAGCTGGAAGGTGTGTTTTTGAAGCTAGCCCAAACCCAGCGCAACACCGCTCTTCACTGGCAACCCAGAAGACATGACACTAAATCTCCCAGACTCGGATGTGGTTTTTCCAGCCTTAGGCCACACTTGTTTGCTGGTTGGCTCAAATGAAGCGCTGGCCCTCGAGTGGCTCCAAGTCCAGCCCGGAAGAAAGGCACTTTCAACTTGCTCCGAATCCGGATTCAACCCCATTCAACCCCCCACCGTTCTTCTGCGAAGTTCCCACCCACTTTGTGGCAATCTCCAAGCGTTGTGCCATTCCATGGTGGAGAATATGTGGTGCCGCTTTTTGTGATACCCTCACTCCCGTGATAAACGAGTCAAATTCTCAAAGGCTATGCCATGGATCCTGATCTTAGGTGCCTTGGCTCGCAGAACAGGAGAACTGCCTACCGGAGGCTCTGGAGGCGTGGGGATCTTTCACGCGCTTTTGTCAAGCCGTTGGGGAAATGCGGTCTTTGACCACTTGCCAGCAAACATATGGACTGTGTCGGACAAATTCATTTGGTCCTTCTGCAATCATATGGCAGTGAATTTTTTTGAGGGGTCTGTAACAGAGCCGCGGCGGACATTCGTTACAGACCTCGTTACAGACCTCTGTAGCAAGACCAGCTGGCTCGTTACACGCCCCTCGTTACACACCCTCGTTACACACCCTCGTTACACACATCAGATGAACAAACCGGGCCAGTGACGTCTTTTTGCCGCAGCCTGGCTTGCGTTTAATAGCTGCAATCAAGCTGGAGCTGCGGAGGCGCTTTGCGTACTGTGCTTTGCTTTGCCTCGTTACAGACCTCGTTACATAGCCGTTACATACCTCGCTACAGACCCAACCAGCCGCAGCTTGGCTTGCGTTGAATAGTTGGTGCTTCGCGTACTGCGCTTTGCTTTGCCTCGTTACAGGCCTGGTTACATAGCCGTCACATACCTCGTTACAGACCCAACCCAGGCCCGGGCCAGCGACTCTGCTTTTCGCCGCAGCTTGGCTTGCGCTGATGTGCTCCTGATTCTGCTTGTCAGGAAATGTTTTTTCCCGTTACAGACCTGCGTAACCAGGACCTCCGTCACAGACCTCCGTAACAAGATCCGTGCCGCGTCGCGCGTTACAGACCCCTAAAAAAAAATCATAGCCATATGGGAAACGTGGTTCTGGAAACGTGGTTCTGCGAACTGTTCCACGAAAGGGTTCCCCGAAGTTTGCCAGGAACTGCAAAGTTTCGGCATCACGTCAAAAGCAGAACTGGTTCTGCCTTAGCCTTCGAAGTTTTTGCAGAACTGTCCAACGTCTGAGTCGATGCTGGCATGATGTTAAGCGATTGTACAGCCGGGTGAGTCGGGTTTGTTCAATGTGCCGCCCCCTAGGTGTTTGTCTTATGCCAGCTTGTTGGCACAATGTCATTTAGCACTAACCAGCCAAAAGTGGATGTCGTCGTTTTTTTGTTTTTTTCCCGGTGGGGTGGGGGGGCAATAGATCAATGATAGCCGCACAGCAATGGCCTAAACCACTGCAAAGGTTGTTGGATTGGGCTAGCAAAAAGGGCCAAGCAAACTGGCTCTTGGTTTGGGCAACACTAGCAATGGATCGGGAAGACGCAAACGGGAGGGTTCTTGATCGGGCCAACGGGTGCCGTTCTTTTGTCGCTCACTTTCAGGAGTCAAAGGGGTTTTCCCTTGTCGTTCTTGTCATTCGCTCATTCAGAGGCAAATTGCATACTTGAAGGTTTTGCGGAAATGCCAGGAGGAGCCTGTCGCTGCTGACCAGCTGAAGGACGTGCTCCCCGGATTGGCCGACCCCTCTGGTCTCGTGGTCAGCAGCTCGGCGGGGCAACTGAGGGCCCCGAACGCATCAGTTGCGAAAGGCCTTTTCGGAAAGCGGACTTTGGACATCCTGTTTGTCATGTCCATGGTTGTCGCTGTTCTTCCTTCAGACACTTCCCCCCCCAGGCTCGCTGGCTAATCTGAACCACTCATCTCGAGTCAGTATGATCAAGAACCGGCCGTGATATGCGAGTGAGGGTTTGGTCATCCATGTCCGCGCCCTTTTAGCGACAACGTCCTCAGCTCCAGTCATAATTACTTTGTATGAAGTACTAGAGCATTTGTTTTGGCCAAACAAGAATCCTGCATGAAGATTGTCCACGCTTGTGGCAAACTCTTGAGGCATAGTTCTGAGCTGGCTGGCAGACTGAAGATAGCTTTGATCATGTCGGAGTCGGCAGTTGCTATAACAACAACCTATGGATAGAGTGTGATGTGTTCCCTCATGTTTATCCGCGTAACAGGCTCCTGGCAACCAATTCAAAAGGATGCGGTTGCGAGAAGGAGCTAGATTTGCTTGGTGTTGCCAATGTCCATGCTTGGAGTGCGGGAAATGCTTCAACAGCTCTTGCAATACTTGGCCGAATGCAGCTGGAGTCTCATCGAATGAAGGCTAGAAGCTACTGTCGGAAGCCTTCTCTCTGTTTGTGCCGCATTTTGTGAGGGGTCAGAATTCGAAAACATCCACCCCTCATATTGATTGCACTCTCTCCCGCTTGGACTGCAAGGTCTTCACTGTTTTCGTCAACACCAACGACAGGAAAGAGGCGCGCACGATGCCACAGGTTGAGCCCAATGCCCGGGTTTGTGCCCTTCAGCACAAGTTGAACTCCCATGAGGCAGAAACTTTCAGTGGATGTGGCTGTGGGTCCAAACCAATGGTACCACTTTGGGGTAGGTGCACCACCCGTTTTAGTCTATGTTAGTGGGGATTGGGATATTCACTGCGAGTACGATTTGGATTTTGACCCATGGCCATGTCTTCATTTCATCGAGAAAACACAAAGAGACAGGTCCCTTGGCGGATCTGTTCTCGAGGCTGATTGGTGGGCCAGATTGTGACGCACCCGTTCAGGTCGTCGACGTATAGCAATAGGAGCTTTGTGCAGTGCACGTCAAGTTCGCCACCCGTCAAAAGCAAGGCGGCCGGATGCGGCCGGCTATCTTGGGAGAACTAAAGCTCAATAGAGCCATGTTGGTAAACATTAGGGTCATTTTTGCGAGTATATTAATACACCTTTGCAACAAATCCGACCCTCCTACTATCACAGAAAGGTGCAGGGCGTTCCCCGAGAGTAGTCTTCCAAGCCCTGCGGTCAGCTTCCATGATTGGATGGCACCTCCATTGCCATTGCCATGGAACCCAACGGAAGCTCCGTAGAATGGTCTGCAGCCGGGGAAGGCTTTCCGGGTTCGCAAGGCGAAGCGCTTCGCCCAGCAGCTCGGGGACTGGATGTGCCGCGTGAGGCGTGGGAACAGTTGAGCCCACTGAAATGGACTCAAGTCCAGCCCCGTTTTTGGAGGGTAAACGGTGCTGTACCTACCCACCTACCCTCGAATTCTCCCCCCCCCCAAACAGTTGATTCATGTCGCTTTCAAAATGTTGCTTCTAGGCCGCGAAAGGGTTCGTGAAAGGGGGTTGTCATTCCCGCACGCGCGAAAGGGTCGTGAAAGGGCCTACAAGACGTGTAGTTTGACCGTCTCCGCGAAAGCGATATCAAACTTCAAACTCATTTCTTGATCCGCGAAGCGAGGCGTTTCGTGATTGCCTCATCAAAACCTCCGGCGAAAGGAACTACTTATGCCACGACAGCCTGCGCGAAAGGGAGTTGATATTTCTCTTCCGCAACTCAGTGGGAGCTGCCACTCGGGGACCTTACGAGCTTTGAGTTGCACCAGAGATGCACAAAAGTGTGCTGCCACAGGCGTTTGCTGCGTGTTGCCCCACCCTGTGAATGACGCGTTGCCTGGCAGGTTTCGGGCTTCAACAAAGAACCTTAGGAGGCGATTGGTTTAGGTTCAAAGGAAGCCGCCAACTGACTCATCTTCCTTTTGTTGGATTGTTGTGTTACACAAAGTAAGTGCCTAGTGGGCTCTTGTCTTGTTTGAGCTTCATTGAGGGTGCGGCTATTGGTCTGTTTCTTTGAGGAGCCATGGCCATCTAGCCTTCTTATAGCCCAAACTGACTGTAAGGGAGCTTTCACTGGCCTGCCATCGCCTATATGTATGTGCCATGGTCAAAAGACCTCTTTAGTTGGGGTTGGTAGGGGTTGTCCGATAGGGATTCTGGCTGACAAGAGGACAGATTCTCTACCATTGCGCTCTGCATCTCAACACATCCCGAGTTGGTTTCTGCTTGAGGCATGTAAGGGCAGATTCGGCTCCCCCCTTCACATCCTGCAACGTTGTTTGCTTCTGGGCTAACACGTAAAGGGTCCAAGGGCCAAAATAACAAGTATGGCCAGCAACAAAAACACGATCCAAAACCAAGATGTGCTTGTCATCGTCTCACCCGAATCCAACTTTTTGTGCTGAGGTGGGCGTTTCGTCGGGTTTGGGCTCGCTTCTCGATTTTCACAGGGCGTTGCTGGGTGGCTCCTTCCTCGCGATCGTGGACTCCGAGCAAGCGAAGCGACGCTGGGAGAGCCACTTGGCGCTGGCGCTTGCGGAGGGACGGCGCCATAGGTGTCCTTTTTAGGTTGGTTTGGTTAAAAATAGATGGCACTGGTTTAGATTGGGTTTATTCCATTATCAGGGCCATCTGTTTTTCCAAAGGGCCACCTATGGAATGCGGCCTTTTCAGCCGAAGCCAGGCTGGGTTTATGGGCTTCGGACTCGTTCAGATCCCCGCGCGATGTTTTTGGTGGGCTCCAACTTGTTTTCTTCCGCTGGGCAACGGGGTGAGGCGAAATGGCCCTCTTGATTCGGGTTTGTCCTGTTTGAGGGTACCCTTTTTGAGGTTTACTGTCACCCTTGATACCTTCCGGAACCCTTCGGAACCCTATGCAGCAACCGCTCCAGACCTCCCCAGCTCCAGACCATCCTTTCTATGTTCATCTACAGGTCAGTTTGGGAGGTGTTCGACTCACCAATCAATGCTCCAAATCGGCCCAAGCCGAGGCGAGTTCGGCGTGTCGGCCTTCTACTCTGAGAGGTGGATAGAGGAATTTGGGGAGTGAGGGCATGCTGCATGAGCGGCGCCCAAAACATCAGCCAGGCATTTTAGAGTCTTTCTCAGTTTAACGGCAAACATACACAACACCATTTTGGTGGAGCTAAAGTTCATGTGTTTAGTGGCACGCCTGTCTTGCCTTTCTTGCCTTAGGGATTCTGTACTGGAATCTGTGGGTTTGGTAGAAGTTTTAGCACTGGCCAAGGCTGGATTGGAGGACATGTTTGAGAGAAGCTGTCTGATTGACGATACGGATTTTGGGTTCTGGGCGGAACCCAACGTTCCTCCTGGTGTCCCTAAGCAACCCCAAACAGGGAACCCTCAACTCACGCACAGTGAGATGTGTTCAAGGTGTCACTGGATTGCTAGTGGCCCAGCAGACTGCTGATTGCATTCACCCCAAAGGAATCTGAATCTAAGTCCTTAGAAAAGAGCAAACTGGTTTCGTTTTGGGAAACATTTTGCATTTTTGCTTACTGTGGTTTAGTGGTTGAAATCCAACCACTTAACTGCTAAGATTTGAGAATATTTGCTCCCCAAACCCAAGGTCAACCAAGAAACTGATTTCGTTGTGGTTCCCCTTTCAGCCCCCATCACAAGACAAGTTCCTATTTCGATTGCGCAGGAGTCCTTCAGAGGCAGAGGACATGGCGAAAGACATGACTCGAATTACTGGCGACGGGGCCTCTGAGTTTCATCACTCCTAGTCACTACGGTGACGACATTTAAATATGTGGGGGCCGGGCCTGGGCTTCAGGGCTGGGAGGTAACGCTGGCGGAGGTAGTGTAGAATCTTTGTTGACCTAGTTAAGTGTCCGGGTGTTTAAGTGGCGACACCGTAATAGTCTGTGTGATAGTCACAATAAGCATTATCATAATCACAATGTTTATACAGAAGTCACCAGTAGTCACCAACAGTATTTAGTATTCATCAATGATAACCAATGGTCACTGTCCGTTACATTGTCAGTCAGTTCGATGGTTTTGGAGATTTGTGGATGCGGCCGAGCAGAGCAGCCGGACGCAGGAGAGGAGTGATCTAGGCACCGTCTCTTCCCTTTCCTTTGTATTTCTGAGTGTGCCTGTTTTGCCCGGTACAGCTGGGCATGGCTAAGTTTGATGGCATATCACTGGAATGGGCTGCTCTTGGCGATGCTTCCCCACTGCTTGGGATACCCTCATGAAGCCTCGGATTGCAGGTTCGCATCACCAACTCTTGGTCATTGGGGGCTTCATTTACGGGACATGAAGAATGCAGCTCAGGATTAGCTTTGGGATCTCGGCTCGCTTGATTTCCGAATGCTTAGCAAATGAATTTGCAAGCTGCTTGGCTTGCAGACATGCATCGCATTGCGGCCTTGTACCCATAGCCATGCATGAGTCTGGAGCGCGCATGCAGCATTGGAGGGATTTGTATTTTGTTCAGAGATTCCCGTCTCCTTAAAAGTTGAATCTAAAGAGAAGTGACCCCTGGAATTTAAGTCTCCATTTTCGCTTTTGTGGGAAAGACTCTTTAAATTATAATGAGGCAAACTCCCCCCACCCCCCGCGGGGATGTTTTGAGCATCAAACACACCGTGCGGAAGATCTTTGGTCAGCTGGGTGGCTTTCTTCCTGAAGTTGTCACCACTGACTGAAGGTCGAAGTGGACAGTGCTTCCGCATCATAGACTCATTCACGACTTTGGAACTAATCGGCTCTCGGGGTTGGTCTGAGAGTGGACATCCTCTTTGAATCTTCGCTTTTGGCTTTGAACAACTGCAAGCGGACCAACGCATCACGCGTAGACATCCGTGGGCTCATCACGCGTTCCAAAGCCGGCCTTTTGCCGCTCGCTGATGACGCGAGTTTGGCCAGTGATTACATGTGTCCCCAAAGTGGGCCCTGAAAATTTTGGATCCACCGGCTTTTGTGGGTTGTTTTGTGGTCGTGATAGGCCGGCTTTGCGCCGAAGACACGAAACTGCTGCAGCTCTGTGACTTGTTGATTTGATGTTGTTGTTCTTGATCATTGCAATACTTGAATCGGATCGGCCCGGCGTGTGCAACAAACATAAAGCGTGTTTTGGTGCTCCCAAGTCGGGATCCCAAAGTTTATTTCAAGATGGCAAACCGCGTTCTGTCTTCAAGAAGCAGCTGCACGGTTCTTTTACACGCCCGAACCAAGGCTGGGTTGCGCCCGGGCTCCCAGGCTCGGAGAAAAAGGCCAAGGGATTCCGTTGATTGGTTCGAATTCTTCAGGAAGCTGCCTTGGGGAATCAATCCCAGTGAGTGACATGGATACCATAGGCAAATGGTAGCTGTTTGTCCTGAGTGTAGCCAGCTGCCATGTGTTGCCTGCTATGTTCTGTTCTTGGTCGCACTAGCTACAAAAAGCATGGCTTCCCGAGCTCTTTTGAATCAACGCTGAATCTTGCTGAGTATCCCGGACGCATGCAATGCGTACATATGCGTACACTTACCAATCTGCTATAGTGACTTGTTTGCAGGCGGCCTGCGAATCAGCCTCTATACATCAAGGAAATTCTCCACGGGCCATTTGCAAGATCTGTTGTAATGTTGACCCCGGATTAATAAACGCCTATTTATTAATACGGGGGGTGTTCCCTCCAAAAGTGATAAATTTCACTAAAACCAGGGACACCCCGGTCAACATTAAACCCCCGGCTTCGATTGCCTCCGATTGAGGATGGAGTCCATTCTGGGGGCTGGGTACAGCGCTTTCTACGTGGACACGGACGGGCAGGGAGGGAGGAAGCCGTGAACACTGAAAAGTCGAGGAGGTGTACGCGACTCCAAGTTCCAAGAACGTCAGAATGCAGGATTTGGTTTTGCTTTCAATGCAGCACAATGTATGTCAATTTGGTGGGAACTTCGGTCGCCTTAGCAGGTTATCATCAGGCCCAATTGCCATTGTGTTTTGAGTAAGTTGTTGGCACTTATGCTACGGCATCAACTGCTCTGAGTTTCCTTTTGTTTTGTCCGTGCGAACAGATGATCACCAGCTTTCTGCCGACGTGCTTAAAGCCAACGTGACGTGTATTGGCCGCTGCCTAATGGTGGCTGAAACCAGCATTCACTAAGCACAACTGTGGAAACCCTGGGTTTTGAGCAAATCTCACGCACGGGGTTTGCTGATCAGGCGCATGGTTGACACCGATTGCCGACGTGTGTGTATGCCTGCCGTGCAGTACCAGAGAGTCCCTTCTGGAACCTTGCTTGTGTGGAACCTCCAAAAAAAATATCTCAACTTCGGTTGCCCCAGTTAAAGCTTTCAGCCATTGCACAGTATCCAAGTTGAAAGTTTGGACTAGGGATGTGCCGATTCTCGACTTTTGGGAGCGCCAGACAGTCAAGGCTGAATCTCGGATTTGAAGCTGTGCGTCTGCACCTGCGTTACTTTCTGCTGCAACTGTTGTTTGGGTGTTTTTCCGGATCCACTAGATCCTTCAGTGCATGCAACATGTTAATGTTGCTGGTGTCAGTCACAATTCCTTGTCAGCCGTCAGGTCTTGATGCAGTCCAATGAAGTGAGTGCATTTGGGCAATCACATTGGTAATCTGATGCAGCATTGCAATCTGATGCAAACATTGCCTCACGGTAAAGTTGTGTTGTTGAAGGTTTGCCTCTCCCCCCTTCCAGTTTTGGAAACAAGAAGGATTCTTGCCTATTTATGCAGCGCATAAACATTTCTGCGGCGATTATTTGTCCAAAGTCTTCGACTTTATTTTGACCACGCGAGGACATCATGTGGCTACAGGATCCTAGACCACACCTCGCAGAACTTTCTGGGGACTTCTTTGGCACTTTGGCTGCGGCACTTCAATCGATTGGATGCAGCAAGTGCTCGATAACAAATAATAGCAAACATCAGCAGGCCCAGAATACAGGTCAATTCCAGAAGCATCCTGGAAGATGTGGATAAGATGTGGATAAGGAGGGTTTCCTGGTGCAATCCGAAGTTCCTGAAAAATGTGGTTTCCGCCCCAGTAAGGATTACTTGAGCACATCAAGGCATGGCTTTGGTTTCCAAAAGCATTGCTGGAAGTCAGAGCGTGTGGGGACGATTTGCGCCCATGTTGACCGGCCCAAAGTTGGCATAGCGTATGTTGCTGACATGAAAAAAGCAGATACAGTATGGCCCAGTATGGCCATACTCTTCAAGACCTTGTTATCAAAACAATGCAAGCCCTTACCCGGAAAGGTTCTGGAAGAACCTTTTTAGGGGTTCTTAGAAGGGTTCTGAGAATAATTCTAGTGGGCAGGGGGGCCCTACTCATGATCCGTATTAGATGAACTGTGTTCGGTATTCTGACCGTGAATCGAGTCGCTGGCTGAGGTTCATGCGACGCCTACGATGCCAGAAGTGGCACTATCAGGTGGGCAACGGCTGGCAGCTGGCAGCGCTTTGGTGGATTTGAGATCCATGCCAACCCCGGCCGGCTTAGGGAAAATACTCCCATGGAAGCCCTACACATCATTAACGAGGAATCCAACCTTTTGGGGGTTGCATGTGTTGGAGGGTCATGGGCTTCAGTACAGGTCGTTTGCCTTGATGTTGCATGCAGAGCCAGCTCGTCGAGTTGATGTGCAGGGTTTGTGACTAGCCATCCACATGGCTAGCTTACCGTGGATTCCTTGTTTCAGGTTTGTGAGTTGTGATCTGCTCAGATTCCACCCCAAACAAAAGAAGCATCATGTCGACGGTGGATGCCAAGTTGAATGGTGAAGTGGCCGCAACCAAGACCAGCATGGCTGGGGGTGCCAAAGTTTGCTTGATGACCAGACTGAAGTTTAGCTACATGGCTGACATTGGCGTATAGCGATGAGAGGTGCGACAAGCTGGTCCATGCGATTTCAATGCATGCCTAGGCAGAAACTGCGTTTAGCCCGAAAGCCTTCTGTTTGCGCAACCAATTGTGCAAGGCGTTAGCAAGCGACAATGGCTTGAGACGTTGCTACGCTACGAGAGGTCAGCAAAGGCAGTGGGCCGGGGGATAGCTGTGTGCCAGCAGCTCATTGGCCAAGGTGTTTCCTCATAAAGTCATCCAATTTGTAATCTCGGCTAGGTATATTCGCGAGAAATTCTCCACACGTCTCAATTCCGTGCTTTTGCCCAACCCCCCCCCCCCGGACCCTGCGCGACGCAGGTGGCACCGCAACGGGTCCCTCGACATGGAGCAGCTCCGCCGGGAGTGGGGCACCGGCCATCGATTTTTGCTTTCCCCCGCTCGAAGCGAAGCGCTGTGGTCTGTTCAGCGGGAAGTGCGATGGAGTCAATGCCTCTAACGTGGTGTCAAGGATCATATGGAGTGACCCAAATCATACGTGTGTGCTGTGGAGTCATGTGCTATGATGCCCAGGATTTCTCTTGTCCGTCTGCTTGAAAAGGACTTCCTTTCCTCCACACATTCCATACAAAAAAAACATGTCACTTCCGCCAGGAGCAACACAAACTGTCTAGCAAGGGGGTTCCAGCTTGGACTTGTAGCATTCCAGAACCCAATATGGTCGTGGGACCAATGGTACTATTTTGGGGAAGGTGCACCACCCATTTTAGAACCTATGTTAGGGGGGATTGGGATGTTCACTGGGGGTACGGCATTTTGACCCATGGCCATATCAGTTAGAGCCATCTTGGCATTGGGGGCAACCTCGTCGGGTGAGATTCTACGTGTTGGGTATTTATTCAGCTTGCAGACTAGCGCTTTTGACAAGATTGGTAGGATCGAAGTCTGTCTTGGGTTTTGTACTGTGCAGTACATTGTTTCTATCACAGTGCGTCAACGCAGTTGATCATGGTGAAGCCATGCTCATCCGCATTGACACTATACTGGATCTTGCATGGTATTTTGCATGGTATTTGTTGGGACCTCCCCAAAATGGTCGCTTTACCCTTGTTTCCAGTCAAGCAAACATCCTTTCATCGGCAGTATGTGATTGGGGTACGTCTTACAACCGGTTGCGGTGGTTTTGCTCGCCAGACGGGCGGAAGCCGGTCATCAGGAGTCTTGACGGGACGATGGTTTTGTTTCATGGACACCCCCGCCAAAATAAGCAGGTGGGTCGTTGGCTGTCCCTTCCAACAATGAAAAGGGCAAGATTGAAGAAGAGACGCCAATTTCAGGGGAGATGTGGATGGCTTGGAAAGGGAGAGAACTTGTAAGCGTTTGTTTGCATTTTGCCCAATGGCTCGACTTGCACAGGGGCTATGTTTCAGCAATTGGTTCGAGTTTGCTGAAGGAATTCAGCTGGCTTAGACGAGTGGATGGCTTACGTGTTTGGCATCTCTTGTCTTCCCGAGTTTCAGGATTTGGATGCTAGGTCCCCCCAGTAGTGCCCTTTCTCACCCCATTTTTTGGTTGGGAGGGACGAAACCCCCACTAAAATAGACTACAGAAAAAAATCGGGTACCCTTATTCTAACCTCTCAAATCTGGAGGACCTAGGATGGTATGCCCCATTTGTTTGGGCAACTCGCTTGACAGGAGTCCCGGGAGCACGAGGATGAGTCGGTCTGCTGCCAGGGCGCGCTGCTGCCAGTGAATGCCGGCATGGTGATGATGAGGCGCCTGGCAATTTCTAGTTGGGAAGTGGAGCGGTTGCTGGCAAGGCAGGACGGGTTTGTGAGTCTCTTCCAAGGTTACCGTTACGGATTTGTTCATGATGATACATATTCCTTCCGCGAGGCAAGTACAATCTGAGAGGGCTTGACTCCCCATGCACGACTACTGAGGGGAAATGGTGTAGCCTTGAAACAGCTAGCCTTGCCCTCTGCGACACCAAGATTCCTGAGTCGGTGTATTCCAAATGAAAAGACCAACGAGGCACATTGCGGAATTCGAAACGTGAAACTTCCTTTCCAATACGACGAGGGGCTTCCCTTGCGGGATTGACCATGCCGGGATTGACCATGCCGCAATCTAAGTCCAAGGGGCCTTCGGTTGGCAGCTTTTTTGGCTCAAGCTTTTGGTAGACCTTATGCTGCTACCTGGAGAGAAGCGGGACGCCTAGGACCATATCAGTGGCAAGCAACAAGTTTGCTTACTCTTTTGGGGATAGGCGCTCCCCTGAGTAAAAAGGAATAGATGATGAACAAAAAGAAACAAACAAGTAAACAGAAAATCAAAATGAACACTGAACACTAAATGGTAAAAGAAAAGTAGTAAAGAAAAGTAGCAAGAGTAGAACACTGGCTGGTTGGCTGGTTGGCTGGTTGGCTGGTTGGTTGGCTGGTTGGCTGGTTGGCTCAGGAAGTGAAGCTCTCTTCGAATTCTGCAGGCCGACGGCTGGGGCGCTGCGTGTGGCGCGGCGCTGCCGGGAGCGAGTGCTGGCGGGGCCCTGCTGGGGCCAAGCGGCCATGCGCCCTGGCTGAAGGGTCTGCGAGAACGCGCTCAGGGCGCTTTGCGGAGGTTGTCCTTATTTCCAATTTGCCGAATTTTGTGGGCATGGGTGTCCTTTTTGGTGGATTTGCTTGAAAATAGAGGGCGATTCCTGGTTTACCTGGTGGTTCAATCAACCAGGGCCCATCTATTTTTCTGAAAAGGACACCTATGAATGTGGGGATCATTTCTTGATCTCGCAGTTCAACGGAGCTCTTGGTCCGTTTGCCAGCGCCACGACAGACCACTGCAACAATATTCAGTTCTGGTTTCCCTTTAAGTTCACCACGCACCAACGACAATAAGCAACAACAAATACAACCCAGAACCTATGCAACGACGGCAACCAGAACATCCCACTGTGTTTATCAGACTGGGCTTCCATTTGTCCAAATATAAGCCAACAGGGGATGGGTAATGTTTCACTTTTTCAGACCCCGTATTCAGGAGAGTCTAATCCTAATTTTGAAACAATTCCGTAGGGTGTGTCAAAATAGGGGACCCCTTAAAATCATGTTTAACCTTCTGATTCCCTGCAACTCAAGGTAAAAAGGATAAAGGGCTGGCTGCTTCGGCGGGGAAGGTCAGCTTTTTCCGTGGCTTGGTCGTTTGGAGCCGAATCCGTGGTTTGGTGGTGAAGGGATGGTCAATTCCATGTACCCGCAACAAGAACGTTCAAATGGCTGCGGGTCAAAAATAGGCACCCAAAATGGAACCCTGGTAAACAGAAACATGGACCAAAGCCTGCGGTCCAAATCCTGGTGGCTTAATTTTTTGACCTGCATACCCAAATCCACCAATCCAAACCACCAATTAGGGGGAAGCTGAGAATGAGCAATGGAATGACCCAAAAGAAAGAGCCGTCTCTTGTTTCCTTTGAGGGAATCAATCCCACAAGCCGCTTCATTCCCCAAAACCCGGACTCGGTCATTCCCTGCCCAACAAGCACCAGGAAGCATAGGACGTAGGGATTGCACACGAGACTCTACCATGACTTAGTTTGCTTTTAAAGTACCCCACAAACCAAATTCCATTCCCTTGGCCCTTAGCAATCTCGAAATCGTTTTGTGTCCGTTCAACGGCCCTCGCCCTCCGTTCGCCTCCTTCGCCTCGTTCGCCTCGCCTCGCTGCGCGCAGCGAGGCACTGGGCGCTCTTCGAGCTCTGCGGCGGCGTCAGCTGCGGGGTGCTGGACCCAAAGCTCTTCGCCTCGGCCGCGCCGCTGCGACAGGCGCTGAAGCCACACGCCGCCCAGGCGCAGGCGGCGATGCGCGGGGCGGAAAACGGGGCGGGCGTTTGTGGGGAGCCTGGGGTGCGGTGGGGGGGGACCTAGCTGGGTCGCGAATCATAGACACCTCACAAAGGGATTTATTTGGCAATGATAAAGGTTGCCTTCTTCGGGTCTCTCTGTCGATGATTCATTCTTTGTTACACCCAGATCAGGGAGCCCGTCTTTCTTTGGTTTCCTTGGTAGCTGGCTTGCTTGTAGCAACGTTTCTTGTCTCTTGCAACGATCGATCGGGCCGTTGTTGTCAAGCACTCTTGCCCGCTTGCTTGCTTGCTTTTGTGCTTTCTTGCTTTTGATTGCTTGATGATTTGATCTTTATTGATCTCCTCTTTTTCTCGCGCTTTGAGACAGAGGATATCAAGGGAGGGATCGCAAAGATTTTGTCTTTATGAATTCATATGGAGCCCCAACAGGCTTCACAAAACGAGATGTTCCTAAAAATGTGTGCGATCTTGAAACCATGACTTTGCTGTTGCTGTTCGCACTGTTGCTTCGAGCCTGGCCGACATGATGGGCTTGCATATCACACGTGCTTCGCATTCTGGCTATCCTTCTCAGGATGTCGTCTTGAATTATTTTAGGACTGTAGAAGGTGATTGACACCTAGGTCGCGCAAGCATTCAGAGTGGTTAATGTGCAACTTCCGCGAAGAAGCCGTCCCGAATGAAACGCGCTTGCGAAAGAAAAGCTGTGGTCATTGCGTGACTTCGCAATTGGGGAGGCCTTGCAGTTGGAAGGTTGAAGATGTCGTGCTGGGTGCGGGTGAGTTGATCTGGCATGCTCTCATTTTGACCAGGTGGCGACGCCAGCCCTGCCTCTTGGTAGCCAAGAGGGCTTGCGCTTTTCGCTGATGATGGGCATGCTCGCTGGCTGTTGAGCCAATCGCCGCTTCCAGACTTTGACACTCTTCCAGGTCAATGAATCACCTGTTCCGGAAGTCTTACTGAGCTGACCGTACAGTTTTGCAGTTGTTTTGCTTGCGTGGCGCCGTGTTGCACATCCATTAGTTGGAATCCACCCCCTCGAAGGATCACTGCAAGAATCATCCGTATATTGATGTGTCCTTTGCAACATTCCAGACCAGTGGAGACACATCATCCATTTGTCGAACACGTGGTCTGTTTTCGTTTCCATGGACCAGACTGGTCAATCTGATCATGCGCCACCTTTCGGGAGGGCCCGTCTGGATGTGCAGATGCGTAGTCCCAGCAATGTCTTTGAAGCGGCTACGTGACTTCCTTTGGCTTTGAGGCCAAAGGTGCAACTTGGAATGCCATTCGACTCAGTAGCCCGGTGGATTGGCGTGGCTCCCTGCAGTTGATGCTGGCTCATAGCTTTCCTGTCGAGTTGGCTCGGTCGAAATGTTCAACGGTGAGCTGCTTCATTTGAGCAAGGGCCCAGAAAGCTTAAAGATTTGCTGGGTCAAGTCGGGCTCGCATAGCCAACAAGACAAAACAAATATCAGCAAGAAAAGGCCCTATGTTTCTACATGGCTCACTGAAAAGGACATTATAAGAGGAGAGAGCGAGAGAGAGAGAGAGAGAGAGAGAGAGAGAGAGAGAGAGCGAGCCGTGTCTTCGGGCGTGACTACCCCGCTTTGCCAAGGATTCACCTTGATGTTAGCGCTGCTCGGCTGAGCTCAGTGAGCCGCAGACATATGGCTGTGGCTCAAAAAATAGGTACCAAAATGGAACCCTGGTAAGTGGAAACATGGACCAAGACCTGCGTATTCCCTGCTGTTCAATTTTGAGCCACACCCATATGTTGGTCTCCGAATTGGGTTGAAGTCATGTCTTTTTGTTTTGCTTCGCTTGCTTCCTCCTTGAAACCCCATAAGACCCAAAGACAGATGTCTTTAAAGAAGGACACGCCGTGGCGCAACTCAGTGAATGGAAGGACAGTGGCCGGCAGAATTCTGACACGCGTAGCGACAGCTGAAGCCAATCTACAAACATAATTCTCATTCCATGGGTCCCTGTCTTGCCCTTTTTGGTGGTTTTGAACGTCATCTTTTTGGCCCGTGAAAGATGAGTGTCCCTTGGGGGTGATATTTTAAGGGGGAATATGGGGAGCCCTGCACATTCTGATCTGCCAAGGAAACGAGCGTAAGAGAGACCTTGAGGTGGCTCAGTGATTTCGAATCGCTGGAAAATCGAATCGCCGGCCGAAACGTCTGCCTTCAACAAGAACACTCCAAACCGTTCACCAGCCAACTTCATGCCTTGAATACTTGGTTGGACCTTCAGTCTTTCACTTGTTAACATCGTACAAACTTAGGTCCAATGTAGCCAGACCATACTTCGCATTTGGAATTGTCCATCAGCCTCGCAAAGGTCAGCTCAAGAGTGGGGTCAATCGCCAAGATGCGAACTCTTGCCTCTACGTCCGTCCATCTCACTTAGGGAAAGGCGAAGGCCCATCGGTTCTTCGAGAGCGTCTTCGGCAACGTGCAGGACAGCGCATCGCTTTGTGCATCAGCTCTGTGGCATAGGTTAGAGCCAGCGACGTCGTTTATCGCTAGGAAGGTGAGCAACATGATTCTGAAGCCAACCCTTCACAAGGATCCCCGAATGGTCCCTTGTTTTGCCGCACAGCTTTTCTCATGCGGCCAATCATTGCCAGATCTGAGCTGTGCGCTTTCGGTTGGGCCAAGTCTGATCGCTTGCAAGGAGTGTGCCGCCGAGCGACAAGCCGAGTTGTGACAAAAAGGTGGGTTCTCCAATGAGGTTTGCTTGGAACCTACCTGAGACTCCCCGTTTTTTTCAGATGATAGCTTCGGGGAGACTCCCAAAAGGTCCGCGAAGGCGCTTGTGTGATACATTCTGTGCCGCGAAGCCCCGCGAAGCCTTTCGCGTAGCAGGCTGCCGGAAGACTATGGCAAAGACGGGAAGGCTATCAGAAGATGACTGTCCGTTTCAGACCCGCCTTTCTCGGAGCGATGGGCCGTTTTCGCGAAGCCTGCGCGAAGCCTCCGCGGTCCAACTTCCATGCGCACTTTGAGACCCTCGCCCTCGCCTCGAAACAGACACGTGAGCCCCGCCAGCGCCCCGCCAGAGCCTTTGACAAGGCACAGCCTTGTGGCAACTGCGTCAGCCGGCCGGCGCGCAGGTGGGAGCGTCGCCAAGGTCTCAAACCACAATACAGTCGCATCAGCCCTGCGTCGTCGCCCTCTTTCGCATAGATTCAATGCGGCCCAAGCAAACTAAATGTCTGTCTGCGAAGCCCAGCGAAGCCACTGCGCGAAGCCACGAAGCCTCGCAAGCTAGTGCTTCCACCAATTCTAGCCACGCGAAGCCCCCAGCTGTGCAAAAGCCCCAACCAATCCAGCGCTCACTTGGCTTGGCACAGGAACATGTCCAGCCTTGAGGCCAGTTGATCTAGTCACTGTTGCGGTATTGCCAATGGACACTGAAGGTATTATTCCACTGAACCTGAAGTTGACACAACAGGCTTGGAACAGAGCAAGTCCATGGACAATCGCCTGATACTTCACACGCCCAGGTATTCAAGTCGAACTTTGGACCCCATGGCTGTTTGGGCGTTGGCAACACGTGGTCACCCTACAAGATGACCGCCATACCAAAGGAAGGCATTCTTGTAGAGGAAAAAACACAAAACGGTTGTTGCCTCTAAATGGCAGAGTGATTCAAACTAGAGCTTAGCTGAATGTCCAGGTGCTTGTCAATATGGTCCTGCCCCGCCCCCGCTCTGCGGCTCAGCCGTTGATATCCGGAATGATAGGTGAGCAACCACCAAATGGGGCACCTGAGGCAGTGTCATGTCAAAAGAAGATACACCAGAGTCAGTAACTTCGATGAACCACGGTTTGCTTCTTGAAAGGTCCTTTCTTTGCGAGTGGCCTGCTTTGGCCAAGTTTGGACGCTTGACAGCAAGGGAAACCAAAGGAACACTGAAATTGGATGGGCTCGAGCCATTCTTCTAAGCAGGGTTGGAGCTAGGAACCCCCAGCAGACGCCCGGACCCGCTTCCAGCTGCGACCAGTGCCATGGCACGGAAGAGTCGCGGGCGAGGAGGTGGCAGAGGTGGCAGTGGTGGCAGAGGTGGCAGAGGCCGAGCCAGGAGCGAGGAAATCGTGTTCATTTCATTCACTTGGGTAGTCATGGCAGTCATTCATTTGTTCACGACAGAGGGAAGCTGAAGATTAATTAAACCCGCGAATTTCGGCAACTTGTTGCAAGGATGGCAGGATGGCTTCCAAAATCTGACATGTCCTACGTCCCAGCTGTCCAACACGCATGTGGACAGGCCCTTGGAAGACTACCAGTCTTTTGCATCCCATTCCCTACCCTTTGTAGGTGACTCAGGTGATCATGGATCCCCCACACAACCAGGATCTCTTGAGACACTCCTTTTGGCCTTCTCCCGTTTTTGGGTTCCAGGTTCATTTTCAAGGGAGTGTCCAGGGGACTGGAATTTTGAGGGGAGCTTCCAGGAGAAGTTTGTTTCCCAGTTTCTTTCAGGAGCTCGGGCATCGAGCAGTATGGCCAAGATGAAGCAGATGAGTTCTTGGCCCTCGATGAATCGGGCCAGGAGGCCTGAGCCCTGCGTCGTTTTTGGGTCCTATCCGGAGGATATATATATATATATATATGGCTGTGGGTCAAAACCAATGGTACCATTTTGGGGTAGGTGCACCAGCCATTTTAGTCTATTTTAGTGGGGATTGGGATGTTCAGTGGCGGTACGAGATTTTGACCCGTGGCCGTGTATAGTATATATAAATATATATATATATAGCTCACCAATGGCTGCACTGCTGCAATTTGCAGGGACGCCAAAGTGAAACCATTGAAACCAGGGTTCATCAAGTTCCCTTGTGGAATGTTTTCATCCTGCTTGCAACCTTGGTCAGGCTTGAGCACAATCTGCTCCAATGCATACCAATACTCCACCGATCATCTTCTGAGTCATCATGTTGGGCACCACAACTGCTGAAAAAGTCCAAAATCTGAACACCTAGCCTTGGCTTAGGTTTGAAGGTGCTGGACAGTCCATTTTTTCATTTTTCGGGACTCCCAGCAGGCTTGGTGTCGGCAACCAACGTGAGCTCACAGGCCCTGAGTGCAAGTGCTCAGTGCCGTTGAGGAATTTGAGGTCTGACCCACGCAGCAACACGGAACCCCTGCTGGTCGGCTCAAAAATACGAAAAGGCAGCGACTGGCATCGAGAAGCCAATGTTTGCCAAAAGCTAGAGTGCCTGATACTGGCGGATACTATTTATACACCATAACTACATGTCTTGGTTGTGACTGCCTTTTGGGAGCTTGCCTGAGCTGTTCACTTTCTAGTTTCCTTTGCTCCAGGAGGACGAAGATGACATGGAGGAAGAAGACGTCATGGCGCTGAAGCCGTATGGTGAGGACGGCCGCGCGAATACAACATACACATGTATAATATGTATATATATATGCATTCCACGGCACATGTATATTCAACCGTCATACAAATACCTAGGTGTGTTTGTGTGTGTTCTTTCTTGGTTTTGTGAGTATGCGTTTCTCAGGTGGGTTTATAGGGACACCAAATTTACTGGATGTCGCTCTATTTTGATGTACACGCAACCATATGTTCGCGTCAAGTCTGTCGTGATGAAGCTACAACCTATGATCCAGGTGCCCAGTTGGCATCAGCTATGGCTGGTGCTCATGACTTGTGCGCGCTGACCTGGTGGCCTTGCGGACGCGCGCAGATGTTCAGCCTCTTTCGCCAGGAGCCTGCGGTCAAGGATAAGAAGAAGAAGAAAAAGGACAAAAAGAAGACGGAGGAGTCCGAGTCTGAGGACTTGGCTCCAGTTGCTTGGCCCCAAGTTATTTTTTCCAGTGAGGTTGTATCATCCTAGAAATCGCACCAGCTTGGCGTGAGCTGCCCAATGTCTGAAGGGATCTTAAGTCTTTCAGGTAGATCAGAGATTCACAAGATGGGAGCTGCTCTCAACCGCTGGCAGAATTTGGCTGAGCTGCCGGAATGAGCCCCAAGTCCGACTCTGGTGACTCTCCAGTTGGATTCTATGTAGGCAGCAAGATGATTGTCAGGCAAGAGGCAGGATCCCACTGGAAGTTACAGTGCCACTTTCAGGATGGCTTAGAGGGGTAGAAAGTGACATGCCCTACCTATGAGTATCCTTGGAAGAAGCAGGTGTTGATCCATTCTGATTCCTCCTTTGCTGCAACCCACTGACTCAGCTGGGTGTTTCTGAAGGGGCACCGGTGGAAAGTTAGACCAACATGGAAACACCAACCTCGTGGCTTGACTCTCTTTAGACCTTTAAGACCTTGAAGCTTTATGGCAAACAACACCTTTTTTACGCAAAAGGTCAGTTAAACTCACTCTTTCCAACAGACCAGCAACATAAAATTGCATCTCAACTTTTAGCAGGTGTCTTTCGCCAAACCGAGGCTAGCAAGGGCTGGGGCCGCAACGACTTCTACGGGGGCGAGGATGCGGAGGATGACTCGGGCAGCGATGAGGAGCGCACCTTGAAGGAGGCGAGGAAGCTGGACGCCGCCTGGCCGCACGAACCAAGACTGTCCGGGGCTCATTGGTGTGTCTCATTTCTAGGGGTTCCATGTCCATTCTTAACCCAGGGATCTGTTTTTCTCTTCAGGAAACCATCAAAAGCCCGGGGGAAAAAGCCGGTTTTTGAAGGGAACCATGGTTGAAAAGAATGGGGAACCAACCCCTAGAGCATTGGTCTACAGCTTCCACCCCCCATACTGCAGGAATCAAAGCTAGTTGGACACCCTTCTTGATCTGCTAGGTCCCCGGTAGTGCCCTTTTACCCTTTTTTGGGGGAGGGTTGACCTACTAAAATAGACTAGGTTGCGGCGCTGTTAGTGACCGTGGTGGATTTGACCCCCCCCCTGCGCCAACATGCCTGGCTCAAAACCCTGCGTTTTGGTGGGTTTTGGTTTAAAACGAACAGAAGGCACCGCTGTTTCGTATGGAAAAACTCAGAGGTGTTGTATGCTTTTGCACGTTTCGCACTGGCACGGTGACGCACAGCTGGCGGCGGATGCGGTGGTGCTTTTTTTTTTTCCTGCGCGCAACCGCTTGTTTTGGGGACGGCACAACTTTGCCATTGCCGAAAAACCTGGAACCGCTTGTTTTGGGCATGGCACAACTTTGCCACTGCCGAAAAAACATTTGCTCTGCAGTTCCTGCGGAACATCCAACTATTCAAATACTTGTCAAAGACATCTTTGCGAAAAGCGACTTGTTGTGCAGCTTGTGCAGCTGCTTGTTGTGCAGTTCGGCTATGCAAATATTTCCTGGTGTGAATCCAACAGCCAAACGTCACAAGACCAAAACGGAGCGAACCAATCATCTGGAACTGGACGCGGCCACCTAGCGATGCGCAGCAGCAAAACGTGGGCCAAACACAAAGACAACTGCGTTTCACATGTCATGGTGCTAGTAGCCCAAAAGCAGCAGCAAAAGATGGGCATGGACAACCCAATGCTTGCTCCAGAACACACAAAGTGGTACACTTACTTTGGACGTTGACATGCCCCCCCACCCCACCCCCCCATCCCTGCAAATGCCTTGACGGATTGATGCTCTTGAAACCTGCCACGCAGTAGTTCCAACGTTGACATCCCCCCCCACCCCCCCCCCCACACGTGGTCGGACAGAAGACAATCAGCATACGAGCCCACGGTCGCTAATCGCGCCGTGAGCATAGACTACAACAAAAAGTGGGTACCCTTCTTCTAATCTCTCTTTTGGAGGACCTAGTCTGGATTCCCTCTGAACCATGAGAAGCTGGATTCAAAACAAGCAGCTAAGTAATCACCCGAACGATCAACCTCAATCCTAGAGCCCGTTCTTTGCTCCTCCTTTGAGCAAGCCGTTTTTGTTTCTTGTTTTTTTTCTCCTGTTTTGTGTGTATGTGTTTCCTTTACAGCTGTTTCGCCACTGGTGTGCCTGTCTTGATGATTTTCAAGGGGCACCGCAAGGCCAGCATCCCTTGAGGTACGTACCTTTTAAGGAAGTAGTTTGACCCCGTTTAACCTCTCCAAAGCCATCCCCTACGTGTAGAGCCTGTGACAAAAAGGAACCTTGCTTTTGCCAGTTCGCCCAAATTGTCCCACCAAAAGCACGGGTTTGGTGCAAATTGTTGGTAGAATCGTTTGCCGTCCAATATTACTCCAAAAGTTGAATTAAGGGATCCGCAAGTAAAAACAAACCTTTGGCTTTCGCTCGTTATGCCCCTCGGTGAGCTGGCGACTCGGCGGAATGGATCTTTTCGCATCGATTCGAATGAGGAGCTGCGTGCCTCGCGGCTGCAGGAGCTCAGCGATCCGTTGACTGCTTTGCTGGGACCTGAAGCAACTTTGAGCGCCTTGGAGGATATGGGGTCGAGCAAACTAGGAATGCTTCAGCCCTGACATGGTTGGTGTCGTATTTTTTTGGCTTGCCTGCAAAACGGACCCCAAAAAAAGGGGACCCGCAACCAAAAGACACACCCATATGGGCAAAGAGATTTCGGGAGCTGGATGGGAGTTCAGGTAAAAGGGATGGGAACCCAGGATGGATCAGGTTGATCCATTGGAGCTTGTTCAGAGCTTCCAAGAATCTCAGTCGGGTTAGTTTGATACAGCGGAGGTTCCAGTGGGTCCAGCTCCAAATGGCATTTCTTGGAAAGCCCAAGCAGAAAAATGCACTTTGCTGGGATCCTTGCAAGCCCACTGTAGCGTTTGCAAGCTTGCCTGGTGACAAGTCTGTAGCGTGGAGAGTGTAAACTGGTCCTTGAACAAGTTGCCTGTCCTTGCGATGCGGACCGCAGCTAGCTGCCTGAGGTGAAGAGAAGTCGGCACAGCCGGATGCAGAGCAGTTCGAGGCAATGCTACTTCGCAGCAAGGTGTTATGACCGCCTTGAGTAGATTCTTGGTCATTTGACTCAAGGATGCGAGCAAATGCATTTGCTTTGAAGGATACGGGACCTTTGTGGACCATCTTCATGCTGTCGGTGCTTGATGCTGAACGCATCTGAACGCGCTTTTGCTTTCATGGAAGTAGCACGTCCCTTGTTTGGACATAACAACTTTTGCTGGCTGGCGACGTCCACACAGAAACCCTAAGCCTTAACATGCAAGGGAAGCATACAGACTCACGCAGATCAACTAATCACTGATCAAAGCGTTCTCAAGGAAACACCCCAACAGAACTCTGCAACCGCATGCTCAGCGGCAACAGTGGTTGCTGCTTCTTTGGATGATCAACGAATCAAGATTGGATTTCCTTTTGTGCATTGGTTGCAAGTTGTGTTACGCTCATGTAGTTGGTCATTCGAGAGTTCATTTGGACTGCCGCATCCACACGAGTTTGCGTGCGGGGATACTTCATGTTTTGACCGGTGATCGGCCGTCCTAGAGTCTAGAGTGTGTTTGGACTGACGTGAGTTTGTGATTCTTGTGGGTTGTGTGTGTGTGTGTTGAGTGTTTTTGTTGAGTTGGTTATTTGACCAGGATTGTTGATGTCATGCCCCTGGCTGCTTTCGGACATTTGGGGGGTGCAGCAAGTCACACGGTGTTTGCGACTTGTTGCTTCTTGTAGCCGCATTCCGAACGGCATTCTGGGCCCAAGGTTCGCGGAAGAAGCCGAGAAGGGTCATGTGGACCGCGACCTGTCCCAGTTGTCGGAGGCCAAAAGGATCCACGGCTGAAAGCATGCGTTCGCCTGAGGCTGCTGATATTTTTCTCGATCCCAGACTTCAGGCTGAAGTGATGAATTAATTACCCGCCTGCAACATGGAACCCGAAAAGCAAGCCCGCACACGTTCAAGGCATCTCCTTTTGGGAACCCCCGTTTGGGTTCCGTGATGCATTGATTTGGTTAGATCGCTTGTGGATGAAAGCTCCATGTCATGGTTGTTGTTGGGAAACATTTTACATTTTTGCTCATTGTGGTTTGGTGGGAAATCCCCACTTAACTGCTAAAATGCTAAAATTTGATTTTTTACTCCCCTTCCAACGTCAACCAAGATGTGCTTGACATGTGCTCATGGTGTTTACCGGCCTGCGATCTTCTGGGTCTGCCCTTTGCTTCTTCAAGTGCGTCACACGGCGGGGGCTAGTAGGTACTCTAGCAGTAGATAATGGAGTAAGGATTCTCATTTGTTTGGGTTTGTCTTAAGTAGGGTGACCCCGAAAATGGTTGGTTTCATTTGGATTCCCCTTTAAACAAACCAAACAACGGGTGCCCTCAAACGAAGGACACTTCTTATCCCATGACAGTACGACCATGTCATGCGCCTAAAGGTGCAGACTGCTGGATACTGCCAGGCTCTGGATTCGAGCCCCTTTTGGGTGTTTGGCCAACGGGGCGGAGTTTCTTGGCCAACGGGGCGGGTTTCTGCAATAGATGTATGGCATTGTCCATGGCCTGATTGGCTTAAGCAGAGCTGGCGCTCACTTTGGACGCGCTGCATTCTGCTTCTTTCCCACTTGACCCCCAACCGAAGCCGGGTAGGCTTCGGGTAATTTATGGGGCCGTCCCCAGCCATAAATTGGTTCTTTCGAACACCCTTTTCTTTGCAGAGCTGTTGGCAGACTCCGTACGTTGTACGTTTTGTTTGGTGACTCGTTGGTTTGACATCAGGAAAAGCCTGCTGAAGAAGGAGGCGCCAGAGCTGATGCCATTGCTGGAGGACGTGTTTGATCATTTTGGTGTTGCAGCACCCTTTGGCTCTGACCTGCGAAGGCAGACCTTGCCAGCGAGCTACGTGCTGTTTAGTCTGGCACCCTAATTTTGAGGTGGATGGTGCAAACCAACGGGTCATGCAAAGATATATACTCCTATGTGTATATGTCCGGTGAGAAGATTTGTAAAACACCTCGCGCCAGAAAAGATTGCGCCATTGCGAGCAAATGTTCAACACGGCTTTGTACGAGAAATATGTGTGGCATCAACCGTACTTTGGCACCCTGGTACACTCCTCTCTGGTGAGAGCAGGCATGGGCAGCAATGCATGCTTCTGCTTCAACAAAGACCAACAGCTTTTCGGTTTGGGGGACGGGCGTTGTGTCGCATGAACTGGTGTGATCTTGACATCAATGAGGTCGACCAGCATACAGAACCTGAGGGACAGGTGCTCCTTAAATCCAACAGTTTCTGCCTGGCAATTCTGTCACATTTCTCGGTGAGTTGGAGCAGCGCGAAGAGCACAGCAAGGGAGAAAGAGTCGTCGACCTGTGCTGTGGTACGTGCCAAAATAGAAAGGCCCCTCAAAGTAAATGATGTCCTTTTCGAACATCTAAAACCGGGTGCCCTGACAACACCACAGACAATGAAAAAAAGGCACCCATCAAAACAAAGCCGCCATGTCGCGCGCAGGACTTTCAGCAAAAGCTGGCAGCCCTGTCGCCTCTTCTGCCCCTGCTAAAGGCGCCGCTGCCTCTTTCTGGTGCAGCACCCGGGCAAAGAAACTGGGAAAGGCCACATTGTCATTTATCCTAGCATGTTTATGCGTCGTCGTCGTCGTCGTTTTTGTCTCTACTGATTCCCAGTCGAGTTTGAGGAGTTCTCACTTGTTCCTTGTTGAGTTGAAGCTGGTTCTCGGTTTGGATGCCTAGGTTTGGGCGAGTACTCCTTGATCATCGCACGGCTATGTTGCCTTTTTCCGCAGGCGGAGTAACTGAAGGGTTTCGACTTGCAGGTGCCTGGAGAACCCTTTCTGCTGGTGCTTGTTCATAGGCGCACCACTCAAGGTACGTTCCCATTTGGAAGATGCAGCACACTGTGCGTGCTCATTCAGAAGCGGTCACAGAGGTTCCAAAAGGATTGGTGTCAAAGTCTCTGAAGGAAGATCCAACGCCCGTGCGATGCGCTTAAAGGGCCAACAAATACAATTCGATTGACTGTTCTGGCCTTCCGACTTGGCGTTGCCGGCGGTCCGCCTCGCTTCCAAGTGTTTGCCCGTGCAATTTTGTGCTGACTTGTTCAGGGGCTGAAGGATCTCATGGAGCGCTGACCATTATTGTGGAGCTGCTAGCACTCTGGTCCGCCTGATTTGTTTTCCTTGGCAAGTGTCACAGGGTGAAATTGCCTGGTTTTGGTTAAAGAGGGATGATCATGCAGCCCTGGACTTCAGATCATAGAGGTACCTCAAGAAACCATGCCGCGCCTCTCCACTGGGTGTGGCCAATTTGCGTGGAAAATTGGGTTGGGTTCCTCCCATCGAGTCTGAGCTCAAATGTGCCGTCTGAGGCATATTTGGAGGCCAAGGTGAGCCTTTTGCTAAACCACCTCGCGAACCTCTCCTTCTACTTGCTCATGAAGTCAGAGGGAGGGGAGGTGAAGTCGCACCCCGTTGTGTCCCAGCTGGTGTGGCTCAGGCAGGGAAAGGAAGTCGAACTTGCCACAATTCCTGAGAGGAACCGGGCTGGAATTTGATGTTTAATCCCCCCATAAGGAGGCGAGGGTAGGCGTGGGGTTGGTCAGGGTTTCGTGAAGTCACCCCTTGGACCCCGCTCACAGGCTTTTACTGTCAAATGTGGACTATGCCATCTTGTTCAACCCATACACCTAGGCTTGAGACAGGTTCGAAATGGCATTGCTCGTTTGTTATATTTGTGTTGTTTGACAACGCACTTTGCAAGGAGTACTATATTGTCAAAAGGGACGAGCTCAGTCAGTTCATAAAGGGATGAGCTCAGTCTGTTTATATCATTTATGGGTATTTTGGCTGCAAGGCCACGTTCTTGAACATTGCAACCCAATTCGCCCGAGCGGGAAGGGTAGCAAGGGCAACACACGGCTTGGGTTGTCTTAGGGTTCAGAGGTCACAGCTTCAGATCCGCCCTACCCAGTCGGACTGGGTTCGTTCCAATTGGAGGCAGGGCATCAACTTTTCGGCGCGTCGGATTTTGCTTCAGGCAGCTGGATGAGTTGATCAAGCCTTTAGACCAGCGCCTGAAGAAGAGCCTGCACAAGGCAGCGAAGGTGGCCAAGAAGCTGCCGAGAGAGGAGGCGCGGTGATTTGGGCCCGCCCCACCCCCCCCCACCCCCCCCCCCCTAAAGCCGGCCCAGGGGCGCGGCTTTGTTCCAAACCCCTGCCAATGGTTTTGTTGGAGATGCTGTGTTTTTTTTTGCGCACAGGCGGTCTTAGCCAGCGCAAGTGTTTCATGATGGCTTGTGGATACATCGAGCGTTCCTCGGTGATTTGTTGGACGTGCCTTCTGGGGGTACTGACATCGGCTTGTTTTTTTCAGCATCTAGTCTCTCAAGTCATGAGAAAAAGCAAGTTTCCAAGGGTAACTTCCATTTCCATTCTTTCCAGGGATCCGAATCCTTCTAGAAAACCATCAAACACCCTGGGGAAATGGCGATCGGTTTTTGAAAAGAATGGGGGAATCAACCCCTAGAAAGTTGAGTTGAGTGAAAATCTCAGCGCAGGCGGTCACGCTGGCATCCGCTGGCTTCGTCCAAGATATCATTCGCAAGCTGCAGAAACGGGGGAGCGTATGCCCTTCAGGTACCTTACGTTTCCTCGTGTTTTTTATGGAGCAACCCTGTTTCAACTAGGTCCCCCAGCAGTGCCGGCCTTTTGCCCTTTTTTGGGGCAAAATTCCCCTACTAAAACAGACTACACAAAAAAGAATCGGTACCAACTTATTCTAACCTCTCCACTGGAGGACCTAGTCAAGACTCCACTTCTGTCCGCTTCGCCATCGCCTCGCCGAGCGCGGAGCGCGAGGCGCCGCGCCCGCCGGCCCCACCGCCGGAAGCGCCGATGCCGCAGCCAGCGGCGCCCAAGGCGCCTGCAACCCTGGCGGAGCGATTAGAGAAGTCACGCAGCGGCAGTGGCGCCTGTTGCTCCCGGCCATCCAATTTAATTCAGTTTTTAGGTTTTAGGGGTTAGTTCCCAGTACCAATTAAATTTGGTTTTTAGGTTTTTAGTTTGTTTAGTGGGGGCGTCCATGTAAGAAAAAACTCTAAAAGTTAAACTTTTTGGCAGGGGATCTGAGGGCAGCCCATGGTTTGGTTGGGGGATAAAAGCAGGGAGCCCTGTGGAAACCCTTTTCAAGGGAGGCTGTGCAATTTGCACCTCCAAGGAACCTGCCGCTTTTTTTTTCTTCTCCTTTTTTTAATGGTGAGCTCACTGAGGGTATTTGGGATGTAAGTCTTTTACTGGGGATTCCTTATTATGCCAGGTGTTGGAATACATATGTGCTGAGGAGTAAGTCTGCGATAAGAGGTTGGCAGTTGGGCTTTGGGTAACTTGGCGATTAGGCTGCGATAAGAGGCCTCCAAGTAGAGAGTCTCCAAGTAGGGGCAGCCACGCAAGAGGGTGATTTATCTTTTTTGTGTACTTTTGACCGGCGGGAACGCGCAGATCTGTGAGAAACAAACACCTCACGCTGCAAATTTGCGTGGGGAATTCGGTTCAACACCAAAAACAACTTAAGGGTAAGGCAGCTTGATGCGCATGCTGAAAGGGGTTTGGGGTCATCTAAGCAGAAATGAGTCTTGGCCGACAAGAGGAAAGGGCTTGAACTTTTTTTTGGGAATAACTTCACTATGAAACCGCCTCTTCTGTACGAGCAAAATGCGTTGTGTTGGAGCCCAAATTCTGCTCGTATTTTGGCAGATTGGGCTTGCGTTTGCGGCAATTGCGAGTTTTCACAAAGAAAGCAGTGATCTGCAACAAATCCTGCATGGGCACATTTTTTAGGATTTTGGCCACACACTACATAATGCGGAGCAGAACGTGTTTTTCTTAGTAGGCGTTTCTCAGAGGCCCCAGGTTCCCCGTGAACCAACTCCGAACAAGCTCCGAACGAACAAACTCCGAACGAACTCCGAACAAACTCCGAACGAACTCCGAACGAACTCCGAACGAACTCCGAACGAACTCCGAACGAACTCCGAACGAACTCCGGACAAACTCCGAACAAACTCCGAACGAACTCCGGGCGAACTCGGAACAAACTCCGAACAAGCGAACAAGCTCCGAGCGAACTTTGGCATTGTTCCCGAGCCAACTCCGAACACACTTTGGCCATAAGTATGTTTTTGAGCCCACTTAAGTATTTTAGTGGCCAAGCTGTTTTTTTGCTTTTTCGGGCTTACCAAAAGAGGCCAAGTGATTACAGGGCCAGTTTCAACAAGTGGCCTGGGAAGGTGTTCTTTGAGGCAAACAAACATGTTCTCAGGCCACTTGTTGAAATTAGTTCTTTCGGTCACTTGATTTTCCTGTTATGTATGTTTCGGGCTGGATTTACTTCCCGGACAAGCGCCAAACAAACTTTGGCCATATTTTTCTTTGGGGGAGCTGATTTTTGTGTTTCGGCCTTAAGTTTCAGTTTTTGCGGCTTTGTTTTGTTTTATTGCTAGTTTTCTTTGTCAGGCTGTGATTTTTGCTTATTATTCTTTTTCGGGGCTCAATTCTTTCCCCGGACGAACTCCGAACGAACTCCGAACGAACTTTGGCCTTAAGTTTTTTTTGGAGTTTTTTTTGTTTTTCTCCTTCTTTTTTTTTTCGGTGTTGAACTTTTTGGGTGTTGGTCGTACAAAAACAGTGGAATTACAGCTTGTTGATGCGATTTTCGTACAAATTTAGTGTTACCAGGGCAAAAAAACATTGAAACATGCTTAATTCAGGCTTTTCATGCAAGAAAACAGCTATTTCATACGACCAAAATCGGGCAAGCCATTACACAAATCGGGCAAACCCTTAAGTTCAACACCGGTGTTGAACTTAAGCTCTTTTTTTTTGGAATAATATTTTTTCCCGGATTAAGCCTTGATCAAAAAGATTAAGCTTTGTTTCAGCTTCAACAGCGAGCCTCAGCGTCAACCAAGCTGCGTGATGACCCCGGTAGCGATTTTAGCCCTCCGCAGCTCTGAAGTCCTACAAATCCGGCCCTGAACGCCTTCCCAGGCCACTTGTTGAAACTGGCCCCTGTAATCACTTGGCCTCTTTTGGTAAGCCCGAAAAAAGGCAACAAAAACAGTTTGACCACCAAAATACTTATAGGCTCAAAAACATGCTTATGGCCAAAGTGTGTTCGGAGTTGGCTCGGGGGTTTGTTCGGAAATCAACCAACGCTTGCTCGGAGCTTGTTCGCTTGTTCGGAGTTTGTTCCGAGCTCGCCCGGAGTTCGTTCGGAGTTCGTTCGGAGTTTGTCCGGAGTTTGCTCGGAGTTTGTTCGGAGTTCATTCGGAGTTCGTTCGGAGTTCGGAGTTCGCTCGGAGTTTGTTCGGAGTTTGTTCGGAGTTGGTTCACGGAAAACCAGACCCTCTGAGAAACGCCTACCAAGAAAAACACGTTCTGGTCCGCATTATGTAGTGTGTGGCCAAAATCCTAAAAAATGTGCCCATGCAGGATTTGTTGCAGATCACTGCTTTCTTTGTGAAAACTCGCAATTGCCGCAACGCAAGCCCAATCTGCCACAATACGAGCAGAATTTGGGCTCCCACACAACGCATTTTGCTCGTACAGAAGAGGCGGTTTCATAGTGAAGTTATTAACCAGGCTCCCGCCTGCTGCCGCCGACCCTCGGCGCATTAAGGGAAAAGTCACAAGGACCGGTCCTGAAACACGTCCGCAAACCCAGGGACCACTTATAAGACCCTCTACGAGACCACAAACAAGGATTAACGGAAAAGTCAGAAATAGGGCAGCTAGTCCGTTAATTACCGCTTGGGCCGGCTTGCGCCCAAGTCACTTCGAGTTGGGCCGGGAGCAGTCGCCTCTCCCGGGGTCGCCTAAACAGCCCTCCAAGTTGACCAGAAACAGGATCAGAAAATCAAATGCCTAGTCCGTTGAGTACCGCTTGGCGGCTTGCGCCAAGTCCTTGAAAGGGTCGCCTGGCCCTCCCGAAGTTGCCTGGACGGTCGCCGGCAGGACCAGGACTTCAGAGGTCATATCAGGCTGGTCCCCGATCTGGCACGGTTTGACTTGACGTATTGGACTCTCTTGCAGAATAGATGGGATCCTCTACTACCACAAGGACGTCAACAACCGCACGGGCCGGCTTGGTCGCAGGGTCATGGGTGCCAGTCCGGAAAGGTGTCTGGAGCGGTTTGAGGCAGCACAGCATTTTGAATTGGGACCCAAGACCAGCGGTCACACCAGGACTCGATCCCGGACCGGCTTCCCAGACCGGTCCCAGACTGGTCAGTCCCAGGACCAGTCCCAGGACCGGTCCTGGGACCAGTCCCAGGACCAAACCACTGGTCCTAGGACAGGACTGGTCCCAGGACTGGTCCTGGGACCAGTCCCAGGACCAAACCCCTGGGACTGGTCCTGGGACCAGTCCCAGGACCAGTCCCAGGACTGGTCCCAGGACCGGTCCTGGTCCCAGGACCGGTCCCAGGACCGGTTTTGGCTGACTACAAGTAATCCAAAACAGCAGAACCAGGGTCCCAGGACCAGTCCCAGGACTGGTCCCAGGACTGGTCCCAGACTGGTCCCAGGACCGGTCCCGGGACCGGTCCCGGGAATCCACTTTTTGTGGGTTCGGGCGTGTCCCCCAGGGACTATCATTGATTCCAATCACTTCCAGTTGCATCCCACGCCGGTCCCCTCTGCAGGAGGCTGGGACGGGAGGCAGAGGGTCGGCGGATTCCCAAAAAAAGTTCAAGCCCTTTCCTTTTGGCGGCCAAGACTCATTTCTGTTTAGATGACCCCAAACCCCTTTCAGCAGGCGCGTCAAGCTGTCTTACCCCTAAGGCTTAGCGCGCAGAAGCGGCGCGGTCCCCTGGGAAGCAAGCAAATTGATTCTTGTTTCGAGGAAACTGGCATCAAAAAGATTTGCTGCAAAATCTGGGCTTTTCTTTTTTTGGTTTTGGCAAACCCTTAAGTTTAAGTAAAAAACCCTGATTCTTTTTTAGGACCTTAAAACACCCAAATCCCGAACGAACTGACCTGACCCATGAAATTTGGCACCTCACGCGTGCACAACAATACAGGTGGGCATCTTCTTACACAATGTCATTGCTAGGTAGAAGTGCCAAAGTTGGCGACGGCGAGCCTGTCGGTCTGTCTTCCTGTACATGTGTAATACATATATACATATATATATATATATTTACATACATGCATACATACACACATTTACATGTACGTGTGCGTGTACATGTACATGTACATATACATATACATACATATACATACATGCATGCATACATGCATGCATACATACATACATACATGCATATACACATATACATATACATACACATACACATACACATACACTTGCAGATACATATACATATACATATACATGCATGCATGCATGCATGCATACATACATACGCACGTACGTACGTACGTACGTACGTACGTACGTACCTGCATACATGCATACATACATACATATATACATACATACATACATACATGCATACGTACGGACGTACGTACATACATACATACATATATATATATAGATACACATACATAGACACACACATATATACATATATTTATATATATATATATATATACATGTATGTGTACAAACACACGCACATATGTATACATATATATATATATATATATGATTCGATTCTTGCGAATGCCATGTAGCTAGATTTTATCTCTATAGACACAACACTATCCTCCAGCTCTCTGTGCTGAGGCTCCGGAAGAAGCAGAAGCCCGCGGAGGCCGCGGCCGACGCGCCCGCGGGCGCCACGCGCGCGTCGGCGGCGCCGGCGTCGGTGGCGTCGCTGCTGAAGCTGCCGGCGGCGAAGCGTCGAGCGGCGAGCAACGGCCCAGAGGACCTGGAGGAGATCGACCCCACGCGGCTCGGGCGGGTTGAGGGAGAGGGAGAGGGGGGTGGGTGGGGGTGGGGGGCGGGGTGACCTTTGTTGGCGGGGTTGACCTTTGTGGGGGGGGGGGGGGCGGAGAGGGGTCGGTTTTATTTTGTTTCCTGGCAAGTTGACCTTTTGTGGCGGGGGGGACAGGGGAAAGGGGGGCGGGGGGTGTTCGGGGGGTGGGGGGGTTTTCCTTTGTTTTTTTTTTTTTTTGAGGAGGTTCTTTTAAAGTCAAGGACTGAACGAAGAAGCCCCCCCTTTGTCAAATGGCCACTGGAGGTCTGGGCGTGGACTCGGTTCTAAAAGGAACGAGGCCAATCAACGAGCAAAGCAAGCAAATAACAAACCAAGCAAGAGAGCAATCAAGCAATCAAGCACCTACAGCCGACTAAGCAATCAAGCAACTACAGCCGACCAAGCAAGCAACCGAGAATTCAAGCCACCAGGGGCCGTCGCCTTTGATTTTAGGGGAAGCCCCCAGATAAAGAAAATCGAAAGACTTCGCCGCTTGGCTTGTCAACTTGACGGTGCTTCTCACGCAGTTCCATGTTTTGAGCGTGTCGGTCAGAATTGCTCCTATCTTCAATGCCCAAACCTCTGGGCATTTCCCTTTAAAGGATAGTGGTTGATTTTAGCTTGGGCTTGGGCCAATCGCCAGCGAGTTTTTCTCACCAGCTGGGAGTCATTTGGATCAAGGTTGGGCGCCTGGATGCCGAACGACAGCCTGAGCCAGCAGCAGCCTGGTGCAGAGCTGCAGGGGCGGCTTCGTAAAGCGTAAATCTAGGGGTACCTTTATTAACCTGCTGGAACCTGGGTTGAGAAATCCTGAGTTCACAAATCTGTTGGGCAGTTCTGGGATCCAAAAACGCATTTCCATTCTTTCCAGGGATCCTTCTTCCTCGAAAACCTCTGGACACCCAGAAAAAATGGCCGGCTCTTGAAGAACGATGGTTGAAAGAGAATGGGGAATCAACCCCTAGAGTAAAGCAGGCCCCTGAGCGTTTACCTCTGGTGTTTACCACAAAAGGGCCTATGGCAGGGAGGTGTGGCCGTGTGCGTGCGCTTGAGCGTACGTGCATGTTTGCTTGCTTGCTTGCTTGCTTGCTCTCTTCCTTGCTTGCTTGTTTTTGTTGCTTGTGTGTTAATTGTTTCTTTGGTTTCTTTGGTTTCTTTGGATTGTTTGTTTGTTTGTTTGTGTTTTTGTTAGGCTTGCGTTTGTGTGTGTATATATGTGTTTGTGTGTAAGGGTTTTCCCTGAAAAAGTAGGCAATTTCCAAGACATGACGGCTGTTTGGGCAGAAAACATGTTTGATATGGTGGCACGTGCGTTTGTGGTTTTGCAGTCTATTCACGCATGTCTCGCAACATTGACGGGGCCCATTTCCCATTCAAGGCAGTTTTTGCTGACTTTGGGTTACGAGAGCTGTCCCCTTGTCGTGATTCCCCCGGGATTGCAGATTCGGATTGTCAAACCCTCCATTTTGAACAGCCCAGAGCTATATGGCGTTGCCCCATTTAAGAGGGAACCGTTCTTCATTTCTTGGGGGGGAAACATTGCCCCATGAATCCACCAGGTCGATTTCTCGTACCTAAAGCCGCTCGTTGGTTTTGCTGGTCCCTTGGATTGTCGGAGTTTCCCATGAATCAACCCTTGTGTGAATAATTGGTTTCCAGGGATTCGTAAATCGATCCCGGAACAATCGACCCCGAGTTGCCATTGAAGCAAGCAAGCAAGGTCTGGGGTCTGGGGTGCATCTTTTGACTGTTGACTGCTTATTAATATGTGGGTCCAGGGTTAATCCAGGGTCAGCAGTGCACTGGGTCTGCAATCTTTTTAGGGTGACCCCCCAGAACGGATCAAACTATGTTCCTTTTGGTTTCAGAACCAGGTACCCTTAAACAGAAAGAGAGCCTCACACGAACTCATGACGAATTTAAACTGCCTATTTTATAGCGATCTCACCGATTCGGGGTTATAAACAAGCTCACCATGATAAAGGTTCTCTTCTTAGGGGGATCTCTTAAATCTCAGGGGTTATAGCAATCCCTTTTCCTGGGGATCCAGCGAAAGGATTTTGTTGTTTTTATGTAGGGGGTGATTCCCCTTTCTGTTTTGTTTAACCCTTGTTCTTATCAAAAACCAGCCGTTTTCCCTGGGTTTCCGGAGGTTTTCTGGAAAGAAGGATCCGTGGGGAAAGAATGGATCCCTGGACAGAATGAACATGGAAGGTACCCCTAGATGTCCGATTTGTAGATTTGTTCGCCGAAGGTAAGGTACAATAGTGATCTTTTGTAAGATACCGAATTTTAAACAACTGTTAAGGTGCACCACAGTAAACTCTTTGGATCCCAGAACTGCCCAACAGATTTGTTCACTCAAGATTTCTTAACTCAGTTTCTAACAGAATAGTGAAGGTACCCCTAGATTTATAGAGTCTTAACTCAGGTTCGCATATTCCCCATTCTGTCCCTAGATTTACAGTAAACTCTTTGCAGATTTGGGTGGGGGTCAAAATTAAACCACCAGGAATTGGACCGCAGGTTTTGGTCCATGTTTCCACTTAGGGCAACCCATTTTGAGGTTACCCTATTTTTCACCCACAGCCACAGGAATCTGAGCTCCCCCTCTGCATGTGAAATTCTTGATTCGTCAGCTCGGCAATGGGCATGGAGGATGGAGTTGCCTGCATGCCTGGCTTAGTTTTAACCCAGGCTGTCGGAGGTGCAGCAACACCTCCGGGAGCGCAAGGCCAAGGCTGCGCCCCAAGCCTCCGACAGAAACGTGGAGCCCCGCGCACGACATTCCCGGCGCGGGGAGGCGCCCGAGGAGGAGAGGCGGTGGTCCAAATTCGCTTCCCTCAATATAATAGCCACGGCCAAAACCTACGAAGACCACTTTATCAAGAGGGGTTGAATTGCATGTCCGAACTGCAGTGCCGCATATGTTACGTGTCTTATCAAGTTAGTTTTGGTTGTTTGTCTGCTTGCTTGTTTGTTTGTCTGTTTGTTTGCTTGTTTCTTTCTTTGTTTCTTCTTGTTTTCTCTCACTCGATCGACCGAATCAGCCTCGCGCCAGCTTCTCGCCAAGCGGAAGGAGCCACAGAAGGATACTGCGGAGGCGGCAGAGGACAGCGACGAAGGCGCGAGAGAGCTGAGAGAGACGCACGTCGGCGGCTCCAAAGCTCACTTGCCCCAAGCAAATTGGCCTGTTGAACTTGTAGATTGGTTCGGTTTGCCTGTTTGCTCCTGGTCTCAGCAATTTGTTTTCACTTGGGCACTTTGATTTTTGGTAGGTTTCCTGGTTCAAAGATCCTTAGCTCGTTTTGGTTTTGAGTACCTTACCTTTGCAGTGTTGGCGCTGCTTGGTCCAAGGAGAGCGCGAGCAACCTCGGGAAGGTCGGGAAACATGAGCTCAAAGCACCTTGAGTTAGGAATACATCTAGTGTGGGATACTTCTTAGTAGAGCCCGCGCAACAAATTGGGGAGTCAATCGCAGAATCAAAAACAGAACAAAACTGGGGTCAGAATCTGGCTGGCTAGGTATTGCTCAGTTTTGGTTTGGAATTGGGTTGGTATTGATTTGGGCTTTCCGGCACTTGACGAGGTGGTTGTTGTGGTGGGTGGGTTGGGTTGGGTTAGGCGAGCGGGTGGGTGTCAAGCATCATTTTTTGAGAAATGGCTGTGGGTCAAAACCAATGGTACCATTTTGGGGTAGGTGCACCACCCATTTTAGAACCTATTTTAGTGGGGATTGGGATTTTCACCAGGGGTACGATTTGGGTTTTGACCCATGGCCAAATGTTCCTGACTTCTAGGATCGATCCTTAGTGTGAGTGCAACTGTGGTCAGCAGGTTTCGGCATCTGCACTGAAGCAATGTCACGGTTGCCTGCCCCCATTGAGATGGCCCCTTGTTTTTTTGTTTTTCCTGTTTACTATCTTAAGCAGCACCCATGTGAGATTTGTTAGAACCTCCCACCATAGTACAGGTTTAGTGGAGGAGGTCCCAACCAGAACGCAAGATGCCTTCCTGCGGGTTTCCGCTGCGTTGCTTGCAGACCTGCAAGAAAGTCTTATAGATGCCAAGGTGTTTGAACATTATCACAACTCGGACAATTCTAAGCGAATGCCGCTTGGACGTTGTGTTGACTAAAATGGAGTTTAAGCCACACACATGCCAGACGTCCGCTGCAAGACAAGTTGCCGGGAGCATTGCCAATCCAAAGACTTGCGCCAGCCCATACCCGAATATGCAAGCTGTGACGCAATTTTCGTGAGCTTTTCAACTCCAATTGGGGCCATTTCAGACGGTTCTACTCCACTCCCTGGTTCTATGCGGATTAAAGACAGGCACACATGAACCTTTCAAGGATGTTTGTAAAGTATCACGGTTTCGGGACCTGGGGGTACACCAACCTTGGTCATGATGAAGCCCTTGGAAAAGTCCGCATGTTGGTGCGGACTTCGCCTGGAACTTGGAAACGTGGACCAAAACCTGCGTAACCCCTCCTGTTTAATTTTGAGCCACACCCATCTTGGTACGGCTCAACTGGGCTTCAGGGCGGCGCTTTTTTCATTTTTTTCGTCTAGGCGACGAGATGATTCGGGCGGCGAAGAAGAAGATCAAGGCCAAGAAGGAGCAGAAGGCCGCGGAGCTGTCGGCCAAGGCCAAGGCCAAAGTGGCCCAGCAGTTCCGCCCCGAGAAGAAGATTGAGGCGGGTCACAGGGAATTGGGGGCGTCTCACATCCCATGTTTTAGATATGCGTGAGAAGGCGGTTGAGTTAATGCGAATTGGAATCTAGACATGTCTTTTTGAGTCCGCGGCTTTGCTTGTGTTCCTTTCCGAGCAGGCTGGCTTTCATCTCGCCTGGGTTAATGGATATCAACTCCTTATCACAAACGGCAGTGGTTTTCCTTGTTGCACACGCGCACGCGCGCGCGCGAAGGCATGGCGAGCTCTAAAAGCTTTTAGCAAATTGTACTTTTCGTGACACGACACGCCCAGCACAATATACTCCTGTCGACAACCCGACAATTTACCTCCGACGAGACAATGTGAGGCCCGGTGCATTTGCCCGCAAAAGACAAGCCTAGGTCCTTCAAACTGCACGCAGAAGGCCCACAATAGGCACACTGCGCGCATGATGAGACAGCGCCGGTGCGAAGACTGGGAGCCCACGCCATCTTTCCATTTGCTGGCAAAGCAGCGGACACGAGCGGCAGCAAAAGGAAGCATCAGATGCGTCTCTGACAGCTAAGAGTGAACAGGCCCGTGGAAGCTTGCACAGTGCCTTGCTCAAGACTAAGAGTAACCAGTTTACACTTACACTTCATGACTGCGTGCTGCTTGGCTGTTGGCATACGGCGATAGAGAAGGAACTCTCTCAGCAGGGAAAGTGGCGCCTCGGGCCGCACATTTGTCGTGCGGTTTTTTGAGTTCGCTCAGCGCCACAGAAAGAGCGCTTGGGCACGCGTGATGCTTGCAGAGGATTCACCATTACAGCGAGGGCTCTTTAATACGAGCAATCCTTGCAGAGGGCGCTTGGACGCGCAGGATACCTGCAGAGGGTTGCCGGGCTTTCCAAAATCGCGCGGCGTCATGCGAGGGCGCAGAGGGTTCATCCGGCATTTACAAATTCACACGCCGCCACAGCAAGAGCGCTTCGACACAGGGTTCATCGGGCACTGCACGCACGCACGCGCGAAACATGGGGAACGATTCCTGGCTTACTAAATAGATGCATACTTATGCGCGAAACCGGCCTGAGCGTAGCAATCCACAGGACACACTCTTGGTTCCCACTGACAAACGTTGTGAACCCTGTATGTATGGCAGCCCTTTGTTCGGGCATGTTCCTTGACATGAACAACGAGTGTGCTGGAGCAAGAAAGATGCTACTGCTGGTGCCATGCTGTTGAGCTCGCGGAGTGGATGGCTTGATGTACCTTATGCCTTTCATGGTGAACGGGGGATGTCAACTTGGAAAAGCCTCGTTCCGTGCCGTGCCGTGCTTCAACCTTTTTTTTTTAAAAGTGGGGGGCAGGCAATCATTGTGAACAATTGCAGATCAGGTAATAGGCGAGGATCGTTTCAGAGCTGTGCATCAAATACGTAGGGCATAGAGTTGAATGAGCAAGAGTCTTAGTAGATGTGAACCAGAGTAAGAGCGAGATACGATGACTGTTTGTGGTGCATGGAACCTGTTGAGACTAAGCCTTTGCACACGCACAATGAGGTAAGGCGTGTTTGACGTCAAAACGTTAGCAAAACAGGAATGCATCCGATAGTGCTGAAGCGCGCTTGAAGAATTATTTGGATTCATGTTGCTATCTGAGAGCTGCAAACATGTAATACCAATTTTGCGACAAGTGATGCTGCTTCGCACGTGGCTAAAGGCTGTATGAACCCCCCCCTCCCACGAGTTGCTTCATACCCCCAGAGACATCCCATCAAGATCTGCCGGCCTTAACGAGCTGCAACTTCAAACAAGGCCGGCGCTGAATACATGGAAGCTTCCAACAGGATATTCAGTAATTATTCTCTTAGGGGCTGCGATGCAACTGCATAGGATTGGGACACTGGACAGGTTGAGAGGTAGATCTTCAGATAAAACTCAGAGGCGAAGGGGAAATCATTCTTTGGGGCATATGTGTTCTGCGTGTGTTGGCCTGTTGGCCTGCGAGGGGCGGCGTGGCACTAGCAAGCAGATTTTGGAGAACAGGGGCCTGGTGCGGCATCGCTTCTTGGACCTGGGGGAGCCGGGAAGAGCCGGGAGAGACCGCTGCAGTGGACTCGCTTTTCACTCTGACAGAGCAACTGCCGGCGTTGGTTGCCAGAGCATTCCTTTCACTGATTGGGAGTCATGCATGCGAGTTGGGACACGCTGAACATGACAAGTGCTGCCTGAAGCCGCCTGAGATGGGAGTCACACGGAATGGTTGGATCAAATGGGTAGAGTGCTGTCTTCCCACAAGGGGGTCTTTCAAACCAGAGATGGAAGGTCACTTTGAGAGCCACACAGGGTCTTTGGTCCGTCTTAGGCACAGTTGCGTTCGTGTTGCTGGTTTGGAGTCCTCTCCGCATGTGAGCCAAGTGACCCAAGAGGCAGAATTCGATTATTGTTCCAAGCACCCTAGACCTGCAGTCTCGTGGACCTGCGACGTGTTTTTGCATCTGCGACTTCCTAGAATTCACACATTAGTACAAGTGATGCAACGCAAAGCAGGTGTAACAAAGCTGCATGCTGCATGGATGTTCCAAAAGAAACCTGATGATGCATTGGGAGTCATGTTCCCACATGTCCAACAAGCAAGCAACATCCAGCTGTGTGATAGCAAGCTCCTCATCTCTTCACGGAGTCAGTTCTATGCAATGAGTGCGGGACTTGTTTGGCACACCTCATGCCCCCAAGAGTCACGAGCTTGAACAGCCAGAGACAAACGTTCAAACACATTCGGCTCCACCCCACCCCACCCCACCCCCACCCCACCCCACCCCACCCCACCCCACTCCACTCCACTCCCTCCAGTTCCTCCAGTTCCTCGAAACTCAACCACTCAACTCCATGCTTATTCCCATTTTGGTCGGTAGGTGCACCACCCATTTTAGTCTATGTTTAGTCACTGGGGGGCAACCGGGTTTTGACCCATAGCCATCTTTGAGGCAAGCAGAAGGCGGGCAACGCGCGGGTGGCCAACCGGGAGAAGTACCAGAAGTTGCTGAAGCGCCGCAAGGGCGCCGTCCAGGAGATGCGCGAGGCGGCGCCCGATGGCGCCACCTACGAAGGCGCCGATGGATCGGAAGGGCGGGAAGGGCGGAAGCTGAAGGAAAGAAACACGGAAAAACACAAAGAAAAAAGAAGAAAAAAAAACATGGGAACCATGGAAAAACATGGGAAACAGACATGTGTTTGGGGATGAGGATGCCATGTGGTGTGTGGAAGCTGATGGAAACATGGACAGAGATTTGTTGGGGATGAGGGTGCCATATGGTGTGTGTGTGTGTGTGTTTTGAATGTATACTTTTGGGGTTGAGAAGGACAGATTCCAAATGAGGCACGACTCAGTTTCCTGCATGCGTTCAAAGCGGGTACACTTTTGGCCGTGAAAGGAGAAGTGAAAGGCTGATCTCATGTCAGTCATTTTCAGCAAGGAAAAAGCACACATCGGTAGATGCTGGCTTTAATTTGGCAAGGTGGGTGATTCGAGCTGCGTTACGCCAGCTTTTTCTGTTCTGGAGGCTTGCGCCTTTGGACACCCGACCGGCTTCTATATACAGGAATATGTGGGGTGCGCGGTTACCCACTGGCCGGCAAGGGCCGCTTCGGGTGCGTGGAGGCCCTTGTCTTAGGGTTTCAAGGCTCCCTAAGACAATCGGCTTGCGCGCATCCAATTCACTTTGGGCCGTGAAGATCCGATTGGAGCCCTTCTTGTGTCGGCCGCCCATTGCGTCGGAGCCAATTTGCAGACGCGTCCACAATCACTAAGGCTTGCAATTTTGACGGTACCCTTTTAGGGGTTCCTTTACATCAAACCAAACGGGATACCCAGTTGAAGGCCAGAAACCCAGAACCCCGGCTTTGCATTTCAATGAGGAAGTTGGGTTGGACCTTCCAGAGGGATTCGGGGGGTCCAACTCTACCTTTCTACAGTCAGGTCCACCCTCGTGTCCACAAGGCCTAAGAGGCAGAAAAGGCAAGCCCTAGTTCTAGCATATGCCGCAACAACAAATGACCAAATCTCAATCTCCGGCTCCCCAACTCGAGATGGCCCCCAAAAAAGGCGTCTAGACTCTACACCCCCGGAGGGTTTGCAACCACAGGGAGCCCACGTATATGGCAAAAACCACGGTCAACCACAGCTGTCAAATCAGCAGGCGAAGCTACTGGTGTGCGCACCCACGTCAAGAAGTCCCTGAAGCTGAGTTGAGCCACGAGACGGCAAGGTGGTGATTTTCAACCAGGTGGCTCCCGAAGGCCATCCTGTTCCTCAGCTTTTTAGCCTTTTGGTGTTTAGTGGAGGGGTCCATTTAACCCACGAAAAGTTAAACTTTTGGCAGGGGATCTGAGGGCAGCCCAGTTTCTTTGGTTCTGCTTTTGTACATATATATAGTTGGTTTCCATGGGCATCGACGTCTTTTTTTGACGGTGTTTCCACATGTTGAAAACAAAACAACTGATATGGTGAATAGCCAACTGGACCATGGCCACCCGAGTAAAAAGGATGCGAGATCAGTGTTTCTGAAAATTAGGGGTTCCCCAGAACGGCTTTTGGCCCTTGAAATACCAAAAGAGATTCTATGATTGTGAGCACATGTCAAGATGGTCCCAACCCCCTCCCCCCCCCCTCACAGAACCCATGGATCCAAGAATCTTGTGCGATTCGGCCCTGCAATCTGTGACAAGGACGTTGACAAACCAAGTTGGTTTTTCAGGACAGCCCTTTGCCCAGGAGTTGACAGTGTTCTGTTTTGAGGTGTATTTCCCAAAAAGGGGTAACTTGCTTTTTGGCTTACTGCTGAAGAACGATTCAAGACGCAAACTGTGATACAAAAACCTGGTGTGCTTCCCGTATCTTGACTGGCGAACAGGGAGGAATGTCGGGCGTCTTTTGGCCAGCTTGCAGCAATCAATATGGTTCCGTTCGTGCTCATGTTTTTTTCTTGAGTGCTTGCCATCACTGTTTGCCACTAGCAGTCCGTGTCAGACAGATGTTTGCTGAGCGGTGTTGTAAGAAGGACATGCCAGTTGCGGGCAAGTTGAGATCTGCGATATTCAAGAGTTGTGTCACATGTATCAGCTTGCAATAATGCGAGGGGAGTCTAGAGCTGATCAGCTGTGTTTTATTAACGAAATGACAGGGCTTTTACAAAGGGAACTACACGCAGCTTGCGGAGACAATCCTGGTTGGGGGCGCAGGCTCGTGTAGGCATTTTGCGAACGAAACGGGACTCAAAGCTATTGGCTACGGGCAAATATGTTTTCGCTCTTCTCGCCTTCCTTCGATTGTTTTACAATCCTCCGCGTGGACACCTGCCCAACATCTCGAGCCCGCGCAGGCACCCTTGGAATCCGCGTAGGTGCAAAGGCCCTGAGCCAAAAAGAAGCTCAGTTGTGTTGCGTGTGTTGCATGACAAGTCCAAAGACTTGCTCTCTCTGTGGCTGGAAGTGACTCCGTTCCTCCCAGCGCATTTGATTGCCCCATTGGCTGTTTGTGACAGTAAACTTCTGTTGATTGAACCCCGAGTAGTTGTATCAAGCTCAGACAAATGAGGGTTGATACCTGGGTTTTCCTTTCCCGTCGTGTTCCCATTAGCCTCTTTGCAGCAAATCCACAGTGATGCCAACTCTTGACATCCTGTTTGTGCACCAGCCCGTAGAGAAATTGCAACATGGGGATCTTGGTCGCGAGCGGCTTTCCCAATCCAGTGGCTTTCCCAATCGGAGCCTCAGGCCGTTGCCAGGCTGATTGTGAAGAGCCCACCGTACTGCCAGTTTCTTCAGATTCAATTTATTTTGTTACTGGGTTCCGTGTGAAAGCAGGCCAGGTGGCTGCGGGGGCCCCACGCTCGCCTTGATTCCACCTTGATTTTAGGGTTAAAACATCAGGCAACGTGCATTGATTTTTTCCTTCTGCGATGTTTGCTTAAACCCGAAGCAAGCGACGCTCCCCCCGTGAGCAAATGAAGCCCGGCCATGCTGTCATGCTGCGCAGCCGAGGTCCCAAAGCTGGACGGGATGCAAAGGGACAAAGGGCTATGAGGGTCGAACTCGACGATGCGAAGGGAACTGCAACCCGAAGGGTTTTTGCAGGTTCTTCTGGTTTTGGGGCGGAAACAAACACCGAGATTCACAAGAGGGTTTTGTGGAGTCTGAATAGAAGACGATTTCCTCCTGAATTCCCTGACCAGAGGTTGCAGACGCGTGCGTGATGTTTGGTCGTGATGTTCTCCCTTAAACATTTGGCAAATGTGTTGCTGTTTGGTTGCAAGTTGTTCCAACGCAGTCAACACGAGCCCACTGTGAGTTCCAGCAGCGTGAGAGTCAAGAGCATTGGGTCACGCACATTTGCTTGTCCGTACGTTCATGGACCGGCGACAGACTTTGTAGTTTTGGCGCAGCACTCATGGATCGAAGATGATGTCACTCATGATCGCTTGAGCTATTGTTGCAATATGCAACGGATACATGTTGTTTGCACATGTCTAAGTATGCTTGGCACAGCTTCTGCCAATTGCTGGCATTCCAACACAAGAGTTGGTGCAGGCTCAGACAGATCTCGACTTTGGTGACATTTGCAACCTGGAAGGGTTGGTTCGCCACCTGACCAATGAGACTTTCTTTGAGCGGAACCTATGTTTGGGTTCCAACACTGGTTTTAATTGCACCAGATGTGTTCCAAACACATCCATGAAGCTGCTTGACATTCATTATTGAGAGGGCACCATGAATCACAGTCCGCATGTAGTGTAGCATGTGTGTGCCTTAGGCTCCTTCTGGTTGTTTCAACATGTTGCCATAATTTTTCATGTAAGGTGAGGCGGTGAGGTTGTAAATGGTAGACACAGTGAATTCTTTCATACAGTCCACGCCTTCCGGATCGAACACAGAGAGGAACCACATAATTCGAAGGTCCGAATGGGCCGCGTTTGAACACCCAACTGAGGCGAACATGACATGTCCGGCTTATTTTCAGTGACCTCGATTCATCTTTTGGGTGCCATGTCCATCATGAAAACAAGGTCATTGGTTCGTCTAAGTGGTCACTAAAAAGAAGCTGGCTAGCATAGTTGTAGTTACCATTGGCACGGCTTGCATGTTGTTTCCGCCTAGGTGTCCGGCTCCGGCTGAACCAGCCATGGGGCCAATACAAAAACGCCACGCTTTGCAAAGGGCCCGGGACAGTGTTCGCTACTCTACACATTTGGTTCTCAAAATCGGGGTTCTCTTGGTTTTCAAACCATTAAAAATGAGCACTCCCAAGAAACCACGCACGCATTTTTAGATGGCGTCACCTTGTTTGGCTTGGTGTCATGTCACTTGTTGCTGCACATACTCGGCCCAGCTCGCACGAAGGAGGATTTAGTCGGCTCTATCCAAGTGTGCCGAGAGCAAAGGGTACCCACCCACCTAGCTGTGCTAAAATGGCTGTAGGCATTTTGGACGTTACATTTCAGGTCTGAGCGCGCCAACAAAGCGCGCAACATTTGTTTCATTGTCCTTCTCTCCACAGATCAACACACAGATCAACGCTAGCCGCAGCTGATGATCTTCAGATATACCAAAAATTACAGCGCTCCTGAAATTCCGGCGGTCAATGCATGCCGATGGATGTGAGCGCCACGCAGCAATGGGCATTGCGACTTGGCAGCGTCAGCTACATGCGCACGTCAAATCTAAGTTAGTCTTGCAGATGAAAGGAAAGGTGGGCCTTTGCCAGCATGCAACCATACCTAGAACTTCCTGCGGCGGAAATTTCTGCCGCAACGCATTGCGGCGGAAATTCCAGCCGCATTCCAGAAATCAGCCGCAAACCAAACAAAAAACACCGCAACCAAAACAAAAACGCCGCAACACCGTTTGTTTTCCGGGAATTTCCGCCGCATTCCCGCCGATTTCTGCCGCATTCCCGCCGATTTCCGCCGCAAATCAGGGGATGGAAAAACCAGAAAACAAGTTCTGCCGCAATTTTAAAGCAGTGCCGCAAATCAGGAAGGAATGCCGCAAATCCAAAAACGCGTCTTTTTTCAATTGCGGCAGAAATTTATGCCGCAACGAATCTCTAGGTATAGGAGGTTGATAATTTTGAGACTGTTTTGACATGCAACATTGCAATCCAAAGACACTCTGTGTCAGGGAAGTGTGTGGGTTGCCGGAGGAACTGGGCAACAAGGAAGAAGAGTGGAGTACTAAAACAAATCTACTTCGGACAGACTCTAGAACTGTTCGATGCCAGGACATGTGTCCGTCATTAATCCACGTGTTTGCATTCACTCAGACCAATACCCCATTGCAATTGCAGTGCATTTCTGTTTCCATGCGATTGACATTGTCTGTGACAGCTATCCAGACAAGATTGGAGCAAGCCCCCTGCTACATCAACTGAATGTGATCGTTGCCTTGAGCCATAACATGCTTGATCAGCCCTCGCTTTGCTTTTAATTCCTCGTCCTGTCCTTTCTCGCTGTCTTGGCAGGGATCTTGGTGCGAAAATACAACTGGGTCTGGCTGGTGCGCTGGTGGGTGGTGAAGGGACAATCATGCTGACGGGGGAACAGTATTTCCTGTGGAGGTTGGCGCAGATGTCCGCGGAAAGTGGTCCCACAGTGATCAACTGTCTCAGTTCCCCTGTGCAACAGTCTGGCTTTCAACTGATCCTGCAGGGTTCACCGCATATCATTCAGAACAGGCGTTGGAGAACGGACGGGGTTGGACGTTTGGAGCCTTGGCCTCTCTGCCACTCAGGTGACCATTGCAAGTCTCGACTCTGATGCAGGTGGGTGGAACCTGTTTGGTTGCGGTTGCTTGCGGCTGTTTCTCGTGTGTGTCTGTGTGCGTGTTATGTTGATTCGTGGTTCGT